CCCCCTCTCTAACCCCTCATCACACCCTCTCTCTTTCTCTTTCCCCCTCTCTAACCATCACCTTTTTCCTTCTCTCCCCCTCTCTAACCTCATCACCCTCTCCCTTTCTCTCCCCTCTCTAACCCATCACCTTCCTATTCTCTCCCCCTCTCTAACCCATCACCTTTCCTTGCTCCAAAAAACCCCTCTCTAACCCATCACCCTCTCCCTTTCTCTCCCACTCTCTAACCTCATCAATCAACCCGCTCACTTTCTCTCCTCCCCCTCCTAACCCATCATCACCTTTCCTTTCTCTCTTCTCTCGTTCTCTCCCCCCTCTCTAAGCCCATCACCTTTTCCTTTCTCTCCCCCTCTCCTAACCTCATCACCTTTCCTTTCTCCTCCCCCTCTCTAACAAACCCCTCACCTTTCCTTTCTCTCCCCCCTCTAACCTCATCAACCTCACCCTCTCCCCTTTCTCTCCCCCTCTCTAACCTCATCACCCTCTCCCTTTGGGCGCTCCCCCCTCATCACCTTTCCTTTCTCTCTCCCGCCTCTCTAAACCTCAATCACCTCTCCTTTCTCTCCCCCTCTCTACCCAAACCTCATCACCTTCCTTTCTCTCCCCCTCTCTAACCCCACCCTTTCCTTTCTCCTCCCCTCTCTATCCTCATCACCCTCTCCCTTTTCTCTCCCCCCTCATCTAACCTTCATCACCCTATTTCCCTTTCTCTCCCCCTCTCTAACAACCCTCACCTTTTCCTTTCTCTCCTCTCCCCCTCTCTAAACCTCACCTTTCCTTTCTCTTCCCTCTCTAAAAACCCACTCGACCTTTCCTTTGCTCTCCCCCTCTCTAACCCACACCTCTCCCTTTCTCCTCTTCTCTTACTCTCCGTTCTCTCTCCCCCTCTCTAACCTCATCACCCCCCCTTTCTCTCCCTCCTCCCCCCTCTCTAACCCATCACCTTTTTCCTTTTCTCTCCCCCTCTCTAACCCATCACCTTTCTTTCTCTCCCCCTCTCTAACCTAATCACCTCTCCTTTCTCCCCCCCTCCTCTAACCCCACACCTTCCTTTCTCTCTCCTCTCTAACCCATCACCTTCCTTTCCTCCCCCTCTCTAACCTCATCACCTTTCCTTTCTCTCCCCCTCTCTAACCCATCACCCTCTCCCTTTCTCTCCCCCTCTCTACCTCATCCAACCCTCTCTCAAATCACCCCTCTCCCTTTCTCTCCCCTCTCTAACCCATCACCGTTCCTTCTCCCCCTCCCCCTCTCTAACCTCCATCACCTTTCCCTTTTCTCCTCTCTCCCCCTCGCTATAACCTCATCACCCCTCTCCCTTTCTCTCCCCCTCTCTAACCCATCACCTTTCCTTCTCTCTCTCTCCCCCCTCCTAACCATCCACTTTCCTTGCTCTCCACTCTCTAACCCATCACCCCTCATCCCTTTCTCTCTCTCCCCCCTCTCTAACCTCATCACCCTCTCACTCTCTCCTCCCCCTCTCTAACCATCACCTTCCTTTCTCTCTCTCTCCCCCTGTCTAGCCTCAAATCAACCTTTCCTTTCCTCTCCTTCTCTCCCCCCCTCTAACCTCATCACCTTTCCTTTCTCTCCCCCTCTCCTAACCCTCACCTTTCCTTCTCTCCCCCTCTCCTAACCTCATCACCCTCTCCCCTTTCTCTTTTCTCTCCCCACCTCTAACCTCAATCACCCTCTCCCTTTCTCTCCCTCCCCCTCTCTACCCCATCACCTTTCCTTTCTCTCCCCCTCTCTAACCTCATCACCTCTCCTTTCTCTCCCCCTCTCTAACCTCTCACCTTTCCTTTCTCTCCCTCTCTCTAACCACCCATCACCTTTCCTTTCTCTCCCCTCTCTCTCTCCTCATCACCCTCCCCTTCTCTCCTCCCCTCTCTAACTTCATCACCCTATCCTTTTCTCTCCCCTCTCAACCCATCACCTTTCCTTTCTCCCCCCTCTCTAACCCATCACTCACCTTTCCTTTCTCTCCCCCTCTCTACCATCAGCCTCTCCCTTCTCTCCCCCTCTCTAAACCCATCCACCTTTCCTTTCTCCTCCCACTCTCTGACCCATCACTTTATCCCTTTTCCTTTCCTCTCCCCCCCTCTACACTCATCACCCTCTCCCTTTCTCTCCCCCTCTCTAACCTCATCACCCTCTCCATTTATCTCCCCCTCTCTAACCTCATCACCCTCTCCCTTTCTCTCCCCTCTCTAACCCATCACCTTTCCTTTCTCTCCCCCTCTCTAACCCATCACCTTTCCTTTCTCTCCCCCTCTCTACCCCATCACCCTCTCCCTTTCTCTCCCCCTCTCTAACCCATCACCTTCTCCTTTCTCTCCTCTCCCCCTCTCTAAACCCATCACCCTCTCCTTTCTCGCCCCCTCTCTAACTCCCTCACCTTTTCCTTTCTCCTCTCCCCCCGCTCTAACCTTCATCAACCCCCTCTCCCCTTCTCTCCCCTCTCTAACCTCATCACCCTCCCTTTCTTCCCCCTCTCTAATCCACACCTTTCCTTTCTCTTCCCCCTCTCTAAACCCATCACATTTCCTTCGCTCCCCCTCTCTACCCATCACAGTTCTCTTTCTCTTCTCTCCCCCCCTCTCTACCGACCCATCACCTTTCTTCCTTCTCTCCCGCTCTAACCCATCACCTTTCCTTTCTCTCTCCCCCTCTCTAACCCTCCACACCCTCTCCGCTTTCTCTCGCCCCTCTCTTAACCTCATCACCCACTCTCCCTTTCTCTCTCCCCCTCTCTAACACCCATCACTTTCCTTTCTCTCCCCCTAATCTATAACCCATCACCTTCCTTTCCTCCCCTCTCTCAACCTATCAACCCTTCCCTTTCTCTCCCCCTCTCTAACCCATCCACCTTTCCTTTCCTCCCCCCTCGTCTAACCTCAGCACCCTCCTCCCTTTCTTTCTCTCCCCCTCCTACCCATCACCTTTCCTTCTCTCCCCCTCTCTAACCTTATCACCTTCTTCTCTCCCCCCTCTCTAACCCATCAACCCGCTCCCTTTCTCTCCCCCTCTCTAACCTCATCACCCTCCCCCTTTCTCTCCCCCTCTCTAACCCATCACCTTTCCTTTCTCTCTCTCACCTTCTCTACCTCATCACCTTTCCTTTCCTCCCCCTCTCTAACCTCATCACCCTTTCCCGTTCCTCTCCCCCCTCTAACCCCTCACCTTTCCTTTCTCTCCCCCTCTCTAACTCCTCCTCACCCTCTCCCTTTCTCTCCCCCTCTCTAACCTCATCACCCTCTCCCTTTCTCTCCCCCTCTCTAACCCATCACCTTTCCTTTCTCTCCCCCTCTCTGACCCATCACCTTTCCTTTCTCTCCCCCCTCTAACCTCATCACCCTCTCCCTTTCCATCTCCTCTCCCCTCTCTAACCTCATCACCCATCCCTTTTCTCTCCCCCTCTCTAACCTCATCAACCCGCTCCCCTTTCTCCCCCCCCTCTACCCACAACCTTTCCGTTTTCTCTCGCCCCTCCTCTAACCTCATCACCCGTCTCCCTTTCCTCTCCCCCTCTCTAACACTCACCTTTCCTTTCTCTCCCCCTCTCTAACCCATCACCTTTCCTTTCTCTCCCCCTCTCTAACCCATCACCCTCTCCCTTTCTCTCCCCCTCTCTACCATCATACCCTCTCACTTTCTCTCCCTCTCTAACCTCATCAACCCTCCCTTTCCTCCTCCCTCCCCCTCTCTAATCCATCCCTTTCCTTTCTCTCCCCCTCCTCTACTCTAACCCATGCCATTTCCTTCTCTCCCCCTCTAACCATCACATTTCCTTCTCTCCCCCTCTCTAACCCATCACCTTTCCCTTTCTCTCCCTCCTAACCCCTCACCTTTCCGTCTCTCCCCCCTCTAACCCATCACCCTCTCCCTTCCTCCCCCTCTCTAACCTCAACAACCCTCTCCTCCCTTTCTCGCTTTTCTCTCCCCCTCTCTAACCCATCACCTTTCCTTTCTCTCCCCCTCTCTAACCTCATCACCTTTCCTTTCTCTCCCCTCCCAACCTCATCACCCCTTCCCTTTCTCTCCCCCTCTCTAACCCATCACCTTTCCTTTCTCTCCCCCTCTCTAACCTCATCACCTCTCCTTCTCTCCCCCCCTCTCTAACCTCACTCATCCCTTTCCTTTCCTCTCCCCGCTCTCGGACCCATCACCTTTCTTTCTCTCTTCTCTCCCCTCCCCCCCTCTCAACCTTATCACCTTTCCCTTCTGCCTCTCCGCCCTCTCTACCCATCACCCTTCTCCCTTTCCTCTCCCCCTCTCTAACCCATCACCTTTCCTTTCTCTCCCCCTCTCTAACCTCATCACCCTCTCCTTTCTCCCCCCCTCTCTAACCTCATCACCTTTCCTTTCTCTCCCCCTCTCTAACCCATCACCTTTCCTTTCTCTCCCCCTCTCTAACCTCATCACCTTTCCTTTCTCTCCCCCCCTCTAACCCATCACCCCTCTCCTTTCTCTCCCCCTCTCTAACCCATCACCTTTCCTTTCTCTCCCCCCTCTCTAACCTCATCCCTCCTCCTTTCTCCCTTCTCCCCCCCTCTCTCACCTCATCACCTTTTCCTTTCTCTCCCTCCCCCTCTCTGGACTCCATCACCTTTCCCTTTCTCTCCCCTCTCTAACCTCCTCACCTTTCCTTCTCTCCCCCCTCTCAAAAACCTCATCATCACCTGCTCCTTTCTCCCCCCCTCTCTAACCTCATCCCCTTTCTGTTTCTCTCCCCTCTCTGAACCCATCACCTTTCCCTTTCTCTCCCCCTCTCTAAACAACCATCACCTTCACGTTCTCTCCCTGCTCTCTAACCATCCACCTTCCTTCCCCTTCCTTCTCTCCCCACTCATCACCTTTCCTTTCTCTCCCCCCTCTCTAACCCATCACCTTTCCTTTCTCTCCCCCTCTCTAACCCATCACCTTTCCTTTCTCTCTCTCCAGGTTGGTGTAACAGGTTGTTTGTAAACTTAATCCTGAGGGACATATCTTCTTCTTCATGCTGCAGACATATTTCCCCACCATGCTGATGGTGCTGCTGTCCTGGGTCTCCTTCTGGATCGACAGGAGGGCTGCCTGCACGCCTCTCTCTGGGTTAACACATACACACAGGGAAACGCACCCCTGAACACACCGCTGAACACACCTGTAACACACCCCTGAAGACACCCCGGAACACACCCCTGAACACATCTAGCTAGAGCTAAACACACACCCCAATTCACATGATTATACTTCTAGATACTAGATACAGTACATAATAGGTTATACACACAGACACCTCTCCCTTTAGAGCTCTCCAGCCCTGACACGCCTGCTGTCCCCCTCCCACACACAGACACCTCTCCCTTTAGAGCTCTCCAGCCCAACAAGCCTGCTGTCCCCCCTCCCAACACACAGGACACCTCTCCCTTTAGAGCTCTCCAGCCCTAACAACGCCTTGCTGTCCCTCCCCTCCCCCACACACAGACACCTCTCCTTTAGAGCTCTCCAGCCCTACACGCCTGCGTCCCCTCCCCACACACAGGACACCTCTCCCTTTAGAGCTCTCCAGCCCTAACACGCCTGCTGTCCCCCTCCCACACACAGACACCTCTCCCTTTAGAGCTCTCCAGCCTAACACGCCTGCTGTCCCCCTCACCACACCACAGACACCTCTCCCTTTAGAGCTCTCCAGCCCTAACACGCCCTGCTGTCCCCCTCCCCACACACAGACACCTCTCCCTTAGAGCTCTCCAGCCCTAACACGCCTGCTGTCCCCCTCCCCACACACAGGACACCTCTCCCTTTAGAGCTCTCCAGCCCTAACACGCCTGCTGTCCCCCCTCCCCACACACAGACACCTCTCCCTTTAGAGCTCTCCAGCCCTAACACGCCTGCTGTCCCCCTCCCCACACACAGACACCTCTCCCTTTAGAGCTCTCCAGCCCTAACACCGCCTGCTGTCCCCCTCCCCACACACAGACACCCTCTCCCTTTAGAGCTCTCCAGCCCTAACACGCCTGCTGTCCCCCTCCCCCACACACAGACACCTCTCCCTTTAGAGCTCTCCAGCCCTAACACGCCTGCTGTCCCCCTCCCCACACACAGACACCTCTCCCTTTAGAGCTCTCCAGCCCTAACACGCCTGCTGTCCCCCTCCCCACACACAGACACCTCTCCCTTTAGAGCTCTCCAGCCCTAACACGCCTGCTGTCCCCCTCCCCACACACACCTGGCCTTTTCCTTCAGTTATCACTACAGTACCATGTCCACCATCATTACTGGGGTGTCCTCCTCCATGCCACAGGTAAGTGTCAATGTGTGTGTGTGTGTGTGTGTGTGTGTGTGTGTGTGTGTGTGTGTGTGTGTGGTGTGTGTGTGTGTGTGTGTGTGTGTGTGTGTGTGTGTGTGTGTGTGTGTGTGTGTGTGTGTGTGTGTGTGTGTGTGTGTGTGTGTGTGTGTGTGTGTGTGTTTGTGTGTGTTTGGGGTGAGGGACTAGCGGGTTTTCTTGAGTGTTTAACTGACTGTGTGTGTGTGTGTGTGTGTGGGACCCTACTAAGTATGTGTGTGTTTGTGTGTGTTCCAGGTGTCTTAATGTGAAGGCGGTGGACATCTACCTGTGGACCAGCTTCCTGTTTGTGTTCCTGTCAGTGATAGAATATGCTGCTGTCAACTACTGTTCTATGCTGGAGGAGATGAGACGACTGAAGAGAGGAAAGGTCAGGGGTCATCCATATCCAGGATTTTGTTGAGAGAGTATTCTCTCTACACAACACTGCTCTCTAGTGTTCAGATATGAGAAATTAAGACTCCATGAAATCACCACAAGTTTCTTTCCTAATATGTTGAATGTGATCCACACATTGTATTGAGATGTATTCTATATGTGTGCGTGTCTGTCCCCCCATTCAGCTCACAACCTCCTATAACGCCAGCCAGGCCATGGCCTTCGACGGCTGTTTCCACAGCAATGACATCGAACTGACCCTGTTCCCCCATCTGCCACCCCAGAACCCTGAGGACCCGCCCACCGAGGGGACACGTCTCCGCCGACAACGGCCGGTGCGGGAGAACGTGGACCTGCTACTTATTTACAGCTACTTGATCGAGTCGTACTTCCGCATGGCCTTCCCTCTGTCCTACCTGCTATTCAATACCATGGTAGAACCTGATGGGGCCCTACTGACTATACTGCTGGGACTGCTGGGACCCTACTGACTATAACTCCTCCTGAGGGGCCCTACTGAGTATACTGCTGGGACCCTACTGAGTATACTGCTGGGACCCTACTGAGTATACTGCTGGGACCCTACTGAGTATACTGCTGGGACCCTACTGATTATACTGCTGGGACCCTCCTGAGTATACTGCTGGGACCTACTGATTTACTGCTGGGACCCTACTGAGTATACTGCTGGGACCCTACTGAGTATATGCTGGGACCCTACTGAGTATACTGCTGGAACCCTACTGATTATACTGCTGGGACCCTACTGAGTATACTGCTGGGACCCTACTGAGTATACTGCTGGGACCCTACTGAGTATACTGCTGGGACCCTACTGAGTATACTGCTGGGACCCTACTGAGTATACTGCTGGGACCCTACTGATTATACTGCTGGACCCTACTGATATACTGCTGGGACCCTCCTGAGTATACTGCTGGGACCCTACTGAGTATACTGCGGGACCCTACTGAGTATACTGCTGGGACCCTACTGAGTATACTGCTGGGACCCTACTGAGTATACTGCTGGGACCCTACTGAGTATACTGCTGGGACCCTACTGATTATACTGCTGGGACCCTACTGAGTATACTGCTGGGACCCTACTGATTATACTGCTGGGACCCTACTGATTATACTGCTGGGACCCTACTGATTATACTGCTGGGACCCTACTGAGTATACTGCTGGGACCCTACTGATTATACTGCTGGGACCCTACTGAGTATACTGTTGGGACCCTACTGAGTATACTGCTGGGACCCTACTGAGTATACTGCTGGGACCCTACTGAGTATACTGCTGGGACCCTACTGAGTATACTGCTGGGACCATACTGAGTATACTGCTGGGACCCTACTGATTATACTGCTGGGACCCTACTGAGTATACTGCTGGGACCCTACTGATTATACTGCTGGGACCCTACTGATTATACTGCTGGGACCCTACTGAGTATACTGCTGGGACCCTACTGAGTATACTGCTGGGACCCTACTGAGTATACTGCTGGGACCCTATTGAGTATACTGCTGGGACCCTACTGAGTATACTGCTGGGACCCTACTGATTATGCTCCTCCTGAGGCACCTTATACTGCTGGGACTCAGAGTATGGACTCCACCTGAGGGACCCTTCTGAGTATGGATTCCTCCTGAAGGGCCCTATGGACTCCTACCCTGTGAAGGTGTTTACCACTGGGAACCTAAAGTATGCTACCCCTGCCCAGACTGAAACAATAGATGTTCACTGCTTACTATAACCAAGGAATATTAGGGGGAAAACTTTCTATGCTTTATCACTATAATTGTTGAGTGATTTATGCTTTTTTTGTTTTCGTTTTGTGGTGAATGAATGGTGTATCTTATTATGTCTGTCATGTACTGTATGTCCAGAAATAAATATTATTATTCATTATTCAAACCGTTCTATCACCCAACATTCCAGACAGCACCTGCCATAGTTAGCAGATCCGACCACCTGCTTCCTTATAGCAGTCGTTCAATCTTCTCGCCAATTCGGAGTACAATGTATTTCTCATCGCTGGATGAAGGTACGTTTTCCGAGCCATATCTCACGCCGGCTCTGTGGCGTTTTCATCTACACAGGAAGTCTGTCTGGCGACACATGCCAATGATGCCAAGAAGTTCATAGATTTTTCGAATATACACTACCAGTCAAAAGTTTGGATACACCTACTCATTCAAGGGTTTCTTTATTTTTTACTATTTTTGACATTGTAGAATAATAGTGAAGACATCAAAACTATGAAATAACACATATGGAATCATGTAGTAACCAAAAAAGTGATAAACAAATCAATACATATTTTATATTTGAGATTCTTCAAAGAAGCCACCCTTTGCCTTGATGACAGCTTTGCACACGCTTGGCATTCTCTCAACCAGCTTCATGAGTTAGTCACCTGGAATGCATTTCAATTAACAGGTGTGCCTTCTTTAAAAGTGAATTTATGGAAGTTCTTTCCTTCTTAATGCATTTGAGCCAATCAGTTCTGTTGTGACGAGGTATACAGAAGACAGCCCTATTTGATAAAAGACCAAGTCCATATTATGGCAAGAATAGCTCAAATAAGCAAAGAGACATGAAGGTCAGTAAATACGGAACATTTCAAGAACTGTGAAAGTTTCTTCAAGTGCAGTCACAAAAACCATCAAGCGCTATGATGAAACTGGCTCTCATGAAGACCGCCACAGGAATGGAAGACCCAGAGTTACCTCTGCTGCAGAGGATAAGTTCATTAGAGTTACCAGCCTCAGAAACTGCAAAGAAACCACTACTAAAGGACACCAATAATAATAAGAGACCTGCTTGGGCCAAGAAACACGAGCAATGGACATTAGACCGGTGGAAATGTGTCCATTGGTCTGGAGTCCAAATTGGAGATTTTTGGTTCCAACCGCTGTGTCTTTGTGAGACGCTGTGTGGGTGAACGGATGATCTCCGCATGTGTAGTTCCCACCGTAAAGCATGGAGGAGGAGGTGATATGGTGTGGGAGTGCTTTGCTGGTGATACTGTCTGTGATTTACTTAGAATTCAAGGCATACTTAACCAGCATGGCTACCACAGCATTCTGCAGCGATTCACCATCCCATCTGGTTTGGGCTTAGTGGGACTATCATTTGTTTTTCAACAGGACAATGACCCAACACACCTCCAGGCTCTGTAAGGGCTATTTTACCAAGAAGGAGGGTGATGGAGTGCTGCATCAGATGACCTGGCCTCCACAATCCCCCGACCTCAACCCAATTGAGATGTTTTGGGATGAGTCGGATGGCAGAGTGAAGGAAAAGCAGCCAGCAAGTGCTCAGCATATGTGGGAACTCCTTCAAGACTGTTGGAAAAGCATTCCAGGTGAAGCTGGTTGAGAGAACGCCAAGAGTGTGCAAAGCTGTCATCGAGGCAAAGGGTGGCTACTTTGAAGAATCTAAAATCTAAAATATATTTTGATTTGTTTAACACTTTTTTGGTTACTATATGATTCCATATTTTCATTTACGTCATTTAGCAGACGCCATATGTTTTATTTCATAGTTTTTATGTATTCACTAATATTCTACAATGTAGGAAATAGTAAAAATGGAATGAGTAAGTGTGTCCAAACTGTTGGCAGGTACTGTAAATGTTTGCTAATTTAAAACAAACATTTTTCAAATTCCTCCGATTTTTCGTTAATAACAAATTTCTAACCTTTAAAAATTATATTGTTGTTTTTTTTGGTCTCGGTAGGCTGGTGGTGCCCATGGTTACTGAAGAGTTTTGTTTACATGTCATTTTGGAGAGGAGGTAGACTTGACGGGCAGGCGGTCTGAAAAGCAACACACACGGCTAAACTAGCTAACATCGTATGCAGAGGAGAATATTAACAAAGTTGGCCAGGTGAGTTGCTTTGCATATGTAAAGTTAGTTAGCAAAGCAAACTGTTTCAATAAGTTATTTGGTCAACGACTGTGAAAGCTAACAGTTAACGTTAGCTAATACATCATTGTTATTCTCACCATATGTCGGGAACCGATAAACGAAACGTGTCCCTGCTGGTTTATTTTGTTAATTAGCTAACGTTACGTAATATGGCTAGTTGGATGCGCACCTATCTAGCTAGCTAGCTTTGCCAGATTTAGCAATGGCCACTGGGAATTGACATTAGCTAACGAATAGCTAGCTAGGTTTGTTAGTCAATGTGGGCAGTATAGTATGTACCGCTAGTTAGCTAACATAAGCTGTTTTAGCTTCAGGGCAAATCAGGAGTGTAATCATTAGTCCAAACCGTTGCAAAACAGAAAATGAGTTTTCCATTGGATAAATACAGGTACTGTAGGTCCCGCCACGTTTCGTTCCGGTTGCTTCCGTTTTAGAAACGTTTTGTAACAGAATCGGCGTAATGAATACGCCCCAGGTGAGTGAGTCATGTGGCAGCTCATCAATTAGCTACAGTTAGCCAGTTGTCGACCAGTATTTTGGAAAGTTAAGATGACTATCTAGCTAAAGTTATGAAGGCTAGTCACTAAAATGTCCTCGCCCAAATTATATGTATTAGTCAAACCAGCGCTCTATTCAATCCGCATCACGGAAATACCGCTTTACAGCGTGATTGAAATTTAAAGGCTATGTTCCTGCTTTAGCGGAGACTAAGTTCACGGTAAACGCTGCATATTGTCGGAAATTAGCTTTCAATTTCTATCGCGGAATCTGTAACGCGTCAGCTTTACAGTTTGAATAGAGCCCTTAGTCTAATAGATCTGACTGATCTTTCAAAGTCTGTCTGCCAATGTGGTGTAACAAGCTTCATAGGCAGGCAACTGTACTTTTCTAATTTCACTGGACAGAGTTGATAGTCAGCTGTCACAGTCTTTCTGGTAACTTGCAGTCAGATGTCCAGAGCCTGAATCCGTAGATTGTATCTGCGCCATGCACCCGTTAAGCACATTCTCCTCTATCTATACTGAACAAAAATTGATTTTAAAGATTCAAAGATTTTACTGAGTTACAGTTAATATAAGGAAATCAGTCAATTGAAATACAGTGATCCCTCGCCACTTCGCGGTTCACTTATCGCGGATTCGCTATTTCGCGGATTTTCATAATGCATTTTTTTTTTTTTGGTGCATTGTGCTCTGCATTCTGATTCGCTAAAAACTCACTCCCGCTTCTTGTATCAAAACATGCTACGAATTGTGCTATCATTTTGTCGTCTCGTGCAGTTATGTGTACGTACATAAAACAGCTTGGCAAATTTACATTAAGTTGGCCAAATTATCTTGTAATTTCGAACATCTCCTAAACCCATAATGTCGACGAACGGCCTGGACCGACAAAAGCACCTGCGGATGGGCCCAAACGGCGGAAGATGCTACCTATCTCAGATAAAGTTAAACTTCTGGACATGCTAAGGGAAGGTAAAAGCTATGCAGCCGTTGCTCGCCATTACGGAATCAATGAATCTTCCGTTCGTTACATAAAGAAGGAGGAAAAAAAACATAAGGACGACAGCAGCAGTCAATTTTAATACGAATGCAAAAAGGGTTGTAACTGTCCGCAACAAGACCATGGTACGGATGGAGACGGCATTAGCTCTGTGGACTAATGACTGCAGGAAAAAAAACATAACCCTGGATACAAACGTTATCTGCACAAAAGCGAGAATGCTGTATGAAAACTTTGCTGTCAGTGACGGGGAAGAGGGAGAGGATGCCGGGCCCTCAGCAAGTGCTGCTGACACAGTGGGAGAGGATGCCAGGCCCCCAGCAAGTGCTGCTGACAAAGTGCCAAGCGCATTTAATGCAAGCAAGGGCTGGTTTGAAAAGTTTAAGAAACGCTTTGGACTTAAAAATGTTTGTCTGCACGGTGAGATGGCGTCTGCGGATACCGCTGAGGCAGAAGCCTTCGTGAACAATAAATTCAAGGCGATCATTGAGGAGGGGGGATATAAGCCCGAACAAGTTTTTAACATGGATGAGACTGCCTTATTTTGGAAACGAATGCCCTCCCGCACCTTCATCATGCAGGAAGAAGCCAAAGCCCCAGGATTTAAAGTTCACAAAGACCGTTTGACCCTGGCTATGTGCGGAAATGCCGCAGGTTTCATGATTAAACCGGGGCTGATTTACAGGTCTAAAAATCCCAGGGCGCTGAAAAACAAAAATAAGGATGATTTGCCTGTTTACTGGATGTACAATGCAAAGGCTTGGATGACAAAAGCGCTCAATCTGGATTGGTTCAAAAACTGTTTCATCCCGGAGGTCAAGTGTTATTTGAGAGGAAAGGGACTGGACTTTAAAGTGCTTCTGCTCCTTGACAACGCCGGAGGTCACGGTAATGATTTGGCATATGATGGTGTGCAAATCGAATTTCTGCCGCCAAACACTACATCCCTGATTCAGCCCATGGACCAAGGAGTCATCCGTGCTTTCAAGGCTCTCTATACGCGCAACACCCTGCAACATCTTGTTGACGCTATGGACTCGGATCAAGATTTCTCACTGAAGGACTACTGGCGTGGATACACCATCGCATCGTGTCTCCAAAACATTCAGAGGGCCATTCAGGAAATGAAAACGGAAACTCTGAAGGCCTGCTGGAAAAAACTATGGCCAGAGGCAGTGCAAAACGCAACCGGAGGCTCGCTTGACGAGGTCCACCACTCTGCCGTAGAAACAGCTGTGAATCTGGCTAAACAGATTGGAGGAGACGGCTTTAATGACATGAGTCCGGATGACATAAACGCCCTGATTGATGGAGACGCACAGCCGCTGACCGATGCAGAGCTGGCAGAAATGACAAAGCCACAAAGCGACGATGAAAGAGAAGAGGGAGAAGAGGACACGAGAGATGAGGAGGAAGGACTAACGCTTGGTCGCTTAGCAACCATGGTGCGAATGGCCACTGAACTTAAGCGAGTAGCTGAGGAATGGGACCCTTTGATGAGCCGTTCATTACAGTTCTCCAACGTAATCGATGGTGGCATGTCGGTGTACAAGGATCTTTTTGCAAAGAAGAAAAAAGAGCGACAACAGCTGCCTATCACTATGTTCTTCTCCCGAACAAACACACCTGCACCGCGGGCTTCAGAAGAAGAGAACACTGCAGAGCGCAGTCAGGATGCAGCGGCCCAGTCTGAAGAGCAGTGAAACGGCCTACACGTGAGTCACTGTATTTGTATACATGTAATACTGTAGTTGCTAATTGTAAAAAAAAAAAGTTTTATATTTCGCGGATTTCACTTATCGCGGGTCATTTTCGGAACGTAACCCCCGCGATAAACGAGGGATTACTGTATATTCATTAGGCCCTAATCTATGGATTTCACATGTCTGGGCAGGAGCACATACAGTTAATATAAGGAAATCAGTCAATTGAAATATATTCATTAGGCCCTGATCTATGGATTTCACATGTCTGGGCAGGAGCACATACAGTTAATATAAGGAAATCAGTCAATTGAAATATATTCATTAGGCCCTGATCTATGGATTTCACATGTCTGGGCAGGAGCACATACAGTTAATATAAGGAAATCAGTCAATTGAAATATATTCATTAGGCCCTAATCTATGGATTTCACATGTCTGGGCAGGAGCACATACAGTTAATATAAGGAAATCAGTCAATTGAAATATATTCATTAGGCCCTAATCTATGGATTTCACATGTCTGGGCAGGAGCACATACAGTTAATATAAGGAAATCAGTCAATTGAAATATATTCATTAGGCCCTGATCTATGGATTTCACATGTCTGGGCAGGAGCACATACAGTTAATATAAGGAAATCAGTCAATTGAAATATATTCATTAGGCCCTAATCTATGGATTTCACATGTCTGGGCAGGAGCACATACAGTTAATATAAGGAAATCAGTCAATTGAAATATATTCATTAGGCCCTAATCTATGGATTTCACATGTCTGGGCAGGAGCACAGCCATGCCCACCCACTTGGGAGCCATATATATACACACACACTGAGTGTACAAAACATTAAGAACACCTTCCTACTATTGAGTTGCACATCCCCTTTTGCCCTCAGAACAGCCTCAATTCGTCGGGGCATGGACTCTACAAGGTGTCGAAAGCATTCCACACGTATGCTGGCCCATGTTGACTCCAATGCTTCCCACAGTTGTGTCAAGTTGGCTGGATGTTCTTTGGGTGGTTGACCATTTTTGATACACGGGAAACTGTTGTGTGAAAAACCCAGCAGCGTTGCAGTTCTTGACACAAACCGGTGCGCCTGGCACCTACTACCATACCCCGTTCAAGGGCACTTACGTCTTTTGTCTTACCCATTCAGCCTCTGAATGGCACTCATACACGATCCATGTCTTAAGGCTTAAAAATCATAGCTTTCACCTATGTTATGGAAAGAGCAGGTGTCCATAATGTTTTGTTCACTCAGTGTGTATATATATATATATATGTATATATGTATGTATATATACAGTACCAGTCAAAAGTTTGGACACACCTACTCATACAAGGGTTTTTCTTTATTTTTACTATTTTCTACATTGGAGAATAATAGTGAAGACAAACACTATGAAATAACACATATGGAATCATGTAGTAACCAACAAAGTGTGAAACAAATCAAAATATATTTTAGATTTTAGATTCTTCAAAGTAGCCACCCTTTGCCTTGATGACAGCTTTGCACACTCTTGGCATTCTCTCAACCAGCTTCACCTGGAATGTTTTTCCAACAGTCTTGAAGGAGTTCCCACATATGCTGAGCACTTGTTAGCTGCTTTTCCTTCACTCTGCGGTCCAACTCATCCCAAACCATCTCAATTGGGTTGAGGTCGGGTCATTGTGGAGGCCAGGTCATCTGATGCAGCAATCCATCACTCTCCTTCTTGGTCAAATAGCCCTTACACAGCCTGGAGGTGTGTTTTTGGGTCATTTTCCTGTTGAAAAACAAATGATAGTCCCACTAAGCGCAAACCAGATGGGATGGTGTATCGCTGCAGAATGCTGTGGTAGCCATGCTGGTTAAGTGTGCCTTGAATTCTAAATAAATCACAGACAGTGTCACCAGCAAAGCAACCCCTCACCATAACACCTCCTCCTCCATACTTTACGGTGGGAACTACACATGCAGAGATCATCCGTTCACCGACACGGCGGTTGGAACCAAAAATCTCAAATTTGGACTCCAGACCAAAGGACACATTTCCACCGGTCTAATGTCCATTGCTCGTGTTTCTTGGCCCAAGCAGGTCTCTTCTTCTTATTGGTGTCCTTTAGTAGTGGTTTCTTTGCAGCAATTCGACCATGAAGGCCTGATTCACACAGTCCCCTCTGAACAGTTGATGTTGAGATGTGTCTGTTAATTGAACTCTGTGAAGCATTTATTTGGGCTGCAATTTCTGAGGCTGGTAACTCTAATGAACTTATCCTCTGCAGCAGAGGTAACTCTGGGTCTTCCATTCCTGTGGCGGTCCTCATGAGAGCCACTTTCATCAAACGCTTGATGGTTTTTGCGACTGCACTTGAAGAAACTTAAAAAGTTCTTGACATTTTCTGTATTGACTGACCTTCATGTCTTAAAGTAATGATGGACTGTCATTTCTCTTTGCTTATTTAAGCTGTTCTTGCCATAATATGGTATTTTACCAAATAGGGCTATCTTCTGTATACCCCCCTACCTTGTCACAACACAACTGATTAGGCTCAAACGCATTACACAAATGAACTTTTAAGAGGGCACACCTGTTAATTGAAATACTTTCCAGGTGACTACCTCATGAAGCTGGTTGAGAGAATGCCAAGCGTGTGCAAAGCTGTCATCAAGGCAAAGGGTGGCTACTTTGAAGAATCTCAAATATAAAATATATTTTGATTTGTTTAACACTTTTTCCATGATTCCATATGTGTTACTTCATAGTTTTGATATCTTCACTATTATTCTACAATGTAAAAATAAAGAAAAACCCTTGAATGAGTAGGTGTTTCCAAACTTTTGACTGGTACTGTATATCTATCCCCCAACCAGCTTCCCTGGTGAGCAGCATCACACATCTCTGAGAGGAGTCCAGACTTCACATGACGTCAGACCAGGAGTCGACCGTCCCAGCTGAGCCTCAGGTGCTGCTAACGCGGGAGACATGGTCGCACCACCTCGGCCCGGAGCGTCAATACCTGGTACGGTACTGTCACTAAAGCTCTCTGCTCACACACACAGCCTTTTGGGTCTGGTATAGTAGATAACATGTTTCTCAGCTATGTGACATGACCAGTAAAAACCTCCTAGCTCTAATCATTAGATACAGACCTACATTGCAGATTGTCACAAGGAGGATTGTGCAGTTGTTTGTAACTTGATGTGCTGTTCAGATTGTTCATAAGAACACACACACTTGCATACATCCCATATACACCCATAACTATTTTATCCCTCCTGCTGCTCAGAGCTTCAGTGGGTATTTAGCCATAGAGTCACAGTCTCGGCATGCCTTCTGTAGTGGCCTTGCTGGGAGAGAGAGCGAAACAGTGAGTCAGTCAGTCAAATAGACGCGAACGAGGGAACCTAAAAGGGATAGAGGGAGGGAGAAGGAGAGAAAGGGGAGTGGCTTCCTCTATGCTCTTGCATTGGTGCTCGTCTGGCCATGTGCCAGAGTGCTAATCCTATTCAAACTATAAACCTCACACTGGGAGGCTCTCTTGAGTGGCAGGGCCATGTGAGCTCCTTCATGTATGCTATTCTGGGCAGGGGAGGAGGAAAGCGCGAGAGGAGGAGAGGACCAGGCTGCTTCAGGCATCAAGCCCAGAGGGGCTAGGGGGCAAGAACCAGGACGCGTTACATGCTAATGGCCTGGCTCAACATGTATCTGACCAACTGGCTCAACACACTTGTGTACCAAATGGACCGGCCAAACGGAAGCTTCAGGAACAGGAGAAGAAGGACAATGTCGTCCCGGACAACGTGTTGACAGGCCCCATGGTGAGGGGTAGCGGCGTGCGGAGTCAGGGGCTGCTCAGTCCGGAACACTCACACAAGGAGGAATCGGCTATTATTAACGCCTCCACAGGCCCCGGCATGGTCACACATACCAACGCCGACGCACACATAGTCTCGATGGAGGCAGGTATATATATATGGAGGGGAGTGTGGAGAGCCCATTAAAACATAATCTAGCAGAGAACAGCATGGAGAATTCAGTTAGACAAAGGATGAAGAACACCATGGAGAACACACCCAAACAGAAGATGAAGAAAATTGAGAACCTAGCGAGACAGATGGAGAACACCATGCAGAACCCAGCCAGCCAGAGGATAGAGAACACAGTGGAGAACCCAGAAAGTCATAAAATAGAGAACACAGTTGAGAGCCCTGTGAGACAGAGGATAGCAGAGAATGCAGTGCTCAGGGCTACCTGGTTCAGCCAGAACCTGGAGCCTGGCCAGGAAGAGACAGAGGGCTGGGGAACCCCCCTGGTCGGGACATCCCCAACCCACCAGCTGTATGATGTCAGAGCTGCGGGGGATTACCTCAATTTAGTGGCAGAGGAGGAGGAGGATGAGGAGGAACTCTGTGTCGTCAGGGCAACCCTGGGGCGGGGATTCAGGGCCAGAGCTCAGAGCTTCTACAGCATCTGTTCCATCGACGCAGATGACCTCGACACTGACCAATCGCAGACAGCGGAACATACATCCTTTATCCAATCGCACATAGCAGAGCCTACAGCCTCTATCCAATCACACACAGTCGAACCTACAGCTATCCAATCACATTCAGTGGAACATACAGCCTCTATCCGATCACACACACAATAACCTACAGCCAATGACCAATCACACAGAGTGGAATCTGCAAAGCCTGACCTATCGCACATAATGGAACCCAAGGCTTCTGAACCCATGGCTTCTGACCAATCACAAACAGTTGAATTTACAGCCATCGACCAATCACAAACATTGGAACCAACAGGCTTTGACCAATCCTATGGTGAGCCCCCCGTGGCACCCGCTCTGCTGGACCTTCTCTGGAGAAGCAATGAGGACCATCAGGCATTACGACAGGACAGCCCCATCGCCCCCGGAGACGCCAGAACCCCGCCGCTAACTGGAGACATTACAGCTCCCGACATACTTGAGCTGACATCACGCCAGGAGGAGAGTGTGTGTGTTAAGAAGAGTGGTCCTATGTCCACAGTGAAGACTGTTGACAGCAGCCAGAATAGAGAGAACGCAAAGAAGGATTTGAACCTCCATGATACCCATAACTCTATCCCCAACCCCAGCCCTGGCTCTAGTCCTATCCCCAACCCCAGCCCTGGCTCTAGGCCTATCCCCAACCCCAGTCCTGGCTCTAGTCCTATCCCCAACGCCAGCCCTGGCTCTAGTCCTATCCCCAACGCCAGCCCTGGCTCTAGTCCTATCCCCAACGCCAGCCCTGGCTCTGGTCCTATCCCCAACCCCAGCCCTGGCTCTAGTCCTATCCCCAACCCCAACCCCAGCCCTGGCTCTAGTCCTATCCCCAACCCCAGCCCTGGCTCTGGTCCTATCCCCAACCCCAGCCCTGGCTCTGGTCCTATCCCCAACCCCAGCCCTGGCTCTAGTCCTATCCCCAACCCCAGCCCTGGCTCTAGTCCTATCCCCAACCCCAGCCCTGGCTCTAGTCCTATCCCCAACCCCAGCCCTGGCTCTGGTTCTATCCCCAACCCCAGCCCTGGCTCTAGTCCTATCCCCAACCCCAGCCCTGGCTCTAGTCCTATCCCCAACCCCAGCCCTGGCTCTAGTCCTATCCCCAACCCCAGCCCTGGCTCTAGTCCTATCCCCAACCCCAGCCCTGGCTCTAGTCCTATCCCCAACTCCAGCCCCCTGCTTGGGGCAGTGTATGGAGCCATATGTGGAGAGGAGATGGAGGGGCCGGAGGTATACCAGGCTGTCTCAGTAAGTGTGACCTGTGAGAGGCTGAGAGGAGAGACTGAGGAGGAGACCATACTCAGCAGGACAGTGGAGACCACAGTAACAGAGGTATCACCAGTCTCCACACTCTCCTCACTATCCACACTCTACCCAGTCTACGCAGTGTCTCTACCCATGGACTTTACTGTCCACTCATTCAAATCTGACCTTAGAGCAGTGGATATGGAACATGAAGCTGGAACAAAACCTGATCAGTATGATACTACTTCTGACAGCAACGCCAAGCCTGACCAAAACATAACCCATGGGAATGCTGGGAGACCTGATGGGGATTATGTCAAACCTACTGGAAATAACAGAAGCCCTGCTGATGACTCAGAGCTCACTGATTGGCGAGTCCAAGCTGAGGTTATAGGGGGAAGGTCTGCAGGAACAGAAAAGAAGCCGAAGACCAGTGTGGAACAGAAACACTGGCAGGAAATGGCTGCCATCACCTATCACCCCACCAGAGGGAGCGGGTATGTTCCTCAGGGTTGTGAGGACAGAGATGGTGGCCATCTTCCTCAGGGTTGTGAGGACAGAGATGGTGGCCATCTTCCTCAGGGTTGTGAGGACAGAGATGGTGGCCATCTTCCTCAGGGTTGTGAGGACAGAGATGGTGGCCATCCTCCTCAGGGTTGTGAGGACAGAGATGGTGGCCATCCTCCTCAGGGTTGTGAGGACAGAGATAGTGGCCATCCTCCTCAGGGTTGTGAGGACAGATATGGTGGCCATCTTCCTCAGGGTTGTGAGGACAGCGATGGTGGCCGTCTTTCTCAGGACTGTAGAGAGGACGGAGAAAGCAGCCATCTCTCTGAGGAAAGAGGAGGCTCTACTCCTGCCCCTCAGGACCTGCCTAGTGAGGACACTTACTTACAGCCCTGTAAAGGTTCTTCATCCTTCTTGTCCCCTTCCCCCTCTGTAGAGTCGGAGGGGGGTGATGGGAGGGTGAGTTCAGAGAGAGGAACTGAACCCACTGACTGCAGAATGCTGTCTAAGGAGAACAGTGAGGCTGGAACACACAGTGACAAAAGAGCAGAGACACACACTGACGACCGTGAAGAAACACGTACAGGGAGTGATGGTGCGAAACAAAATGACCGGCTTGTAGAGAGCGCAGAGACACACACTGGGAGTACAATATCCCTCCCACATATAGCCTCAGTAGTGGGTTTACTGTAGGGACACACATTGACAGTACTGTAGGGACACACATTGACAGTACTGTAGGGACACACATTGACAGTACTGTAGGGACACACATTGACAGTACTGTAGGGACACACATTGACAGGAGTGTAGGGACACACATTGACAGTACTGTAGGGACACACATTGACAGTACTGTAGGGAGACACATTGACAGTACTGTAGGGACACACATTGACAGTACTGTAGGGACACACATTGACAGGAGTGTAGGGACACACATTGACAGGAGTGTAGGGACACACATTGACAGGAGTGTAGGGACACACATTGACAGTACTGTAGGGACACACATTGACAGTACTGTAGGGACACACATTGACAGGAGTGTAGGGACACTCCCTGAGAACACAGAGTGTAGTGACATAGTACCAGCTGACAGGAGTGTGTGTGAGGGTGTGTGTGGTGACAGGAATATGTGTGAGAGTGTGTGTGTCGCCTCTGTTAACCCCCCTGTGACATTGGGAGCCAGCCCGTTTGAGGAGCCCCTGACCTTCGGTTACCACAGCGATTACTGTTCTGCTGTGAACTACCCTGGAGACGATGCAACAACTGCAGATTCCTATTTTCTGGTGGTGGAGCATGATCAGATTGATGTTTACGCCTCCACCCCGTCTTACCAGATACAGTTCCTGGGTCAGAGGTCGCTGCCTGTCACCACAGAGACGGGCACTGTGGGGGTTAGAGGTCAGACCAAAGAGGGGGGCATGATGGACATGGTGTCAGAGCTGCTGGGAGAGGAAGTGGACCCCACCCTCTCTGGCCTCTACCCCTCTCCCTGGGCGCATTTAGGGCCAGGGCTGGAAGAGGGCTGTGGAGGATGGGCCCAGGGTATGGAGTGCTGTGAGGAGGAGCAGCCCCTAGCTCCATGGCCCTGCTGGGAGCCTCTGCCTACACCACCTACAGCACTCTGCTGCCCCAGGACTCTAGTCTCTGGGAATGGCACTCTCACTACCAGCCTGTGAGTACTTCAGCGGTGTGTGTGTGTCAACTGTATGGATGAGCAAACACACATCTCTATTCATGTGAGTTAAAAAGTTATGTTCTGATCATGATTGATCCAACTGAGACAAGGCAGGAGCAGAGGAGTACACACACTATATACAGTCGTATGAAAACGTTTGGGCACCCCTGACAATTTCCATGATTTCCATTTATAAATAATTGGGTGTTTGGATCAGCAATTTCATTTTGATCTATCAAATAACTGATGGACACAGCAAGTGAAATTAGGTTTATTGGATTAACAGAAAATGTGCAATATGCATCAAAACGAAATTAGACAGGTGCATAAATTTGGGCACCCCAACAGAAAAATCACATCAATATTTAGTAGAGCCTCCTTTTGCTAAAATAACAGCCTCTAGACGCTTCCTATAGCCTCTAATGAGTGTCTGGATTCTGGATGAAGGTATTTTGGACCATTGCTCCTTACAAAACATCTCCACTTCAGTTAGGTTTGATGGTTGCCGAGCATGGACAGCCCGCTTCAAATCATCCCACAGATTCTCAATGATATTCAGGTCTGGGGACTGGATGCACAGTGACACCATCTGCAGCAAGATGATGTTATAGGTCTTTGGAGGTGGTCTGTGGGCTGTTTTTGACCGTTCTCACCATCCTTCGCCTTTGCCTCTCCGATATTTTACTTGGCCTGCCACTTCTGGCCTTAACAAGAACTGTGCCTGTGGTCTTCCATTTCCTCACTATGTTCCTCACAGTGGACACTGACAGCTTACATCTGTGCGATAGCTTTTTGTAGCCTTCCCCTAAACCATAATGTTGAACAATCTTTGTTTTCAGGTCATTTGAGAGTTGTTTTGAGCGCCCCATGTTGCCACTCTTCAGAGGAGAGTCAAAGAGAACAACAACTTGCAATTGGCCACCTTAAATACCTTTTCTCATGTTGGATGCACTTGTCTATGAAGTTCCAGGCTTAATGAGCTCACCAAACCAATTGTGTGTTCCAAATAATCAGTGCTAAGTAGTTACAGGTATTCAAATCACATCTGATTTAATTTCATACAACTTAATATTGCTACACTAAAAATCTTTGTCTGGACAATACCCCAGTACTCAGCTTTTATAAAAAAATGAATGGCATGCCACTGTGATCATTTTCTGTGACGACAGAGTAAATTATTATGCAGCTTTAGAGGGGTGCCCAAACTTTTTCATACGACTGTACGTTTTCTATTGTTTGAAGAAACACTGACCTTGGGTGTGTGTGTGCTCCCTTGCAGGAATCCACCCCGGTCTCTGAGCTGAACCCCAATGCTCAAGTATGGGCCAATCACACGCTTAGCCTGGACCCCTCAGGCCCTGTCTACACTGACGCCCTCCAATCATGGCTGGCGGTGCCCAGTCACCTTGACAACCAGGAAGGTAAGCATGTGGTAGTAGAGCGAGTATGAAACAACGACTAGCCCTTAGTCCAGAGGGGGGACAGCTACTGGCTTATTTGAGTGTTTGTCTAGTAAATGTCGCTACCTGATTGGTCCTCAGGGTATGAGCAGGGATATGACCTGGAGGAAGTGGGCGAGGCTCAGCTGGAACCGAGCGGTGTAGAATTTCCAGTGGTCACCATGGGAAACCCGTCAGCCAGTGGCCTGGTCCAGGACAGCTGTGTCTCAGGTACCAACGTTACTGGCTGATGGAGCTAAGAGCAAACAAGACTGTTTATCAGATTATGTCTGATACAAACATTAAATGTTATTAATGTTGTTGCTTTCAGAGGAGCTCATGGCAGAGCTGAAGACCTCACTGGAGTCCTGTATGTCACGGTACGTCTGTGTGATTGATCAGTGGGCAGCGAGGGTCGTTTCTGATTGGGCAGTAAGGTTTGTTTTCTGATTGGCTGATGTCCCCTCAGGGAGAATCTGGCCAACGACCTCTACCTCGTCTCCCAGATGGACAGCGACCAGTACGTTCCCATAGCAACGCTCGCCAACCTCGACCACATCAAGAAGCTCTGCACGGACTTGGAGCTCATCTCTGACATCCTCAAGTGTGAGTTAACTTAAGTTTTTGTGTGTGTATGTTGGTTAGTTGTTCTATTGTATTACATGATTGGGTAAGATATTTCCTTGGCGGGAGGGCGCTGACTGTGTCCTCTCTCCTGATTGGCTCGTAGCCTTGCCACTGGTGGAGGTGGCAGAATGTGGGCAGAAGGTACGGCCAAATCAGGGTCGCTGTATCGTCATCCTCCGAGAGGTCCCAGAGACCACACCCCCAGAGGTAATAATTAGTTGTTTTTTTCTGAGCTCAAAGCTCAGTTTCTCTAGAGATAAATCAGTAGTGTATTCAGTTCGCTTAAACGTTTGCTATGTTGCGGAACGGTTTGTACTGAGCGACACCGTTCCCCAAAACGTTCTTGTACGTTCTTGAACAGACTTTGAGGTATGTTTGCTCCGTTCGGTGGGTGTGCCGGGCTGTGGCTTGAAACAATGACTGACGTATTTAAAGGGCAGAGGTGCATTTTGAAGCTACAACCCAACCCCTCCCTGTTTTTTCAACTGGTCGTTCAGTACAGTTTCCGTTCTAGGAAGTTTTTATGTACTGAATGCAGCCCTGATCAAGCCCGAACTGTGATATGTAGTAGAGGGATGTAGTTTCCAAAAGGCCAATATTCTACATAGTTTAGTGCAGAAAACGTGGTAATTAACTGCAATGACCATAATCCATTGCGCGCCTACTTGTCCAGTCTGTGTGGGCACGGAGACGGAGAGAAGAGAGAAGAACACGGATCGAGAGGGATAGAGTTGCTTCGCGATGTATCTCTACCTGAAAATGCATGATCTAAGTGATTGATATTTGTTATTCAGCAGTCATAAAAGTATGCCATATTTACTTTGAAGAATTACTAAAATAATGATTTTGTCAGACAGCATAGGCAGCAGATCTATAGAGATGAGATGATGACTTGGAATGATATAATAAAGTTAGCAAATAAAACAATATACAAGTGAAATATTTTATTAAAGTAATGTGAATAAATGATGGTTAATTAGTTATAAGCAGTAATTGTCAGTAACTAACATCATGGGACTTTTATTGTTTTATTCTGTGTTACAGCATTCAACCCACAGTGCATTTAATCAAAAATTTCAAAAATTGAAAAACGTGATTATTTTTTATATGATCGAACAGAAAACAAACCGACCTCGAAAAACACTTATGGCTCAGCACTAACTGTAAGAAACCTGTGTGTGTGTGTCAGTTCTGACATGGTGTGTGTTTATCTTGTTGAACCACCAGGAGGTGAAGGCTCTGTTTGCATGTGAGAGCCTCCCCAGGATCCAGAGATGTGAGTTTGCCCAGAACGACAACTGGTTCATCACCTTCCACACTGAGGCTGACGCTCAACAGGTACAGCTGGGAGACTGGGGTTAGGGGGTTAACGACAGGTAGGAGAGACAGAGACTGGGGTTATGGGGGGTTAACGACAGGTAGGAGAGACAGAGACTGGGGTTAGAGGGGTTAACGACAGGTAGGAGAAACAGAGACTGGGGTTATGGGGGTTAACGACAGGTAGGAGAGACAGAGACTGGGGTTAGAGGGGGTTAACGACAGGTAGGAGAAACAGAGACTGGGGTTATGGGGGTTAACGACAGGTAGGAGAGACAGACTGGGGTTAGAGGGGTTAACGACAGGAGAGACAGAGACTGGGGTTAGAGGGGTTAACGACAGGTAGGAGAAACAGAGACTGGGGTTATGGGGGTTAACGACATGTAGGAGAAACAGAGACTGGGGTTAGGGGGGTTAACGACATGTAGGAGAAACAGAGACTGGGGTTAGGGGGGTTAACGACAGGAGAGACAGAGACTGGGGTTAGGGGGGTTAACGACAGGTAGGAGAGACAGAGACTGGGGTTAGGGGGGTTAACGACAGGTAGGAGAGACAGAGACTGGGGTTAGGGGGTTAACGACAGGTAGGAGAGACAGAGACTGGGGTTATGGGGGTTAACGACAGGTAGGAGAGACAGAGACTGGGGTTAGAGGGGTTAACGACAGGTAGGAGAGACAGAGACTGGGGTTATGGGGGTTAACGACAGGTAGGAGAAACAGAGACTGGGGTTAGGGGGGTTAACCGACAGGTAGAGAAACAGAGACTGGGGTTAGGGGGGTTAACGACAGGAGAGACAGAGACTGGGGGTTAGGGGGGTTAACGACAGGTAGGAGAGACAGAGACTGGGGTTATGGGGGTTAACGACAGGAGAGACAGAGACTGGGGTTAGGGGGGTTAACGACAGGAGAGACAGAGACTGGGGTTAGAGGGGTTAACGACAGGTAGGAGAGACAGAGACTGGGGTTAGAGGGGTTAACGACAGGTAGGAGAGACAGAGACTGGGGTTAGAGGGGGTTAACGACAGGTAGGAGAAACAGAGACTGGGGTTAGAGGGGTTAACGACAGTAGGAGAGACAGAGACTGGGGTTAGGGGGGATAACGACACGTAGGAGAGACAGAGACTTGGGGTTAGAGGGGTTAACGACAGGAGAGACAGAGACTTGGGGGTTATGGGGGTTACGACAGGTAGGAGAGACAGAGACTGGGGTTAGAGGGGTTAACGACAGGTAGGAGAGACAGAGACTGGGGTTAGAGGGGTTTAACGACAGGAGAGACAGAGACTGGGGTTAGAGGGGTTAACGACAGGTAGGAGAGACAGAGACTGGGGTTAGGGGGGTTAACGACAGGTAGGAGAGACAGAGACTGGGGTTAGGGGGGTTAACGACAGGAGAGACAGAGACTGGGGTTAGAGGGGTTAACGACAGGTAGGAGAGACAGAGACTGGGGTTAGGGGGGGTTAACGACAGGTAGGAGAGACAGAGACTGGGGTTAGAGGGGTTAACGACAGGTAGGAGAGACAGAGACTGGGGTTAGGGGGTTAACGACAGGTAGGAGAAACAGAGACTGGGGTTAGGGGGGTTAACGACAGGTAGAAGAGACAGAGACTGGGGTTAGGGGGGTTAACGACAGGTAGGAGAGACAGAGACTGGGGTTAGGGGGGTTAACGACAGGTAGGAGAGACAGAGACTGGGGTTAGGGGGGTTAACGACAGGAGAGACAGAGACTGGGGTTAGGGGGGTTAACGACAGGTAGGAGAGACAGAGACTGGGGTTAGGGGGGGTTAACGACAGGTAGGAGAGACAGACTGGGGTTATGGGGGTTAACGACAGGTAGGAGAGACAGAGACTGGGGTTATGGGGTTAACGACAGGTAGGAGAAACAGAGACTGGGGTTGGGGTGTTAACGACAGGTAGGAGAAACAGAGACTGGGGTTAGGGGGGTTAACGACAGGAGAGACAGAGACTGGGGTTAGGGGGGTTAACGACAGGTAGGAGAGACAGAGACTGGGGTTAGGGGGGGTTAACGACAGGTAGGAGAGACAGAGACTGGGGTTATGGGGGTTAACGACAGGTAGGAGAAACAGAGACTGGGGTTAGGGGTGTTAACGACAGGTAGGAGAAACAGAGACTGGGGTTAGGGGGGTTAACGACAGGAGAGACAGAGACTGGGGTTAGGGGGGTTAACGACAGGTAGGAGAGACAGAGACTGGGGTTAGGGGGGTTAACGACAGGTAGGAGAGACAGAGACTGGGGTTAGGGGGGTTAACGACAGGTAGGAGAGACAGAGACTGGGTTATGGGGGTTAACGACAGGTAGGAGAGACAGAGACTGGGGTTAGAGGGGTTAACGACAGGTAGGAGAGACAGAGACTGGGGTTATGGGGGGGTTAACGACAGGTAGGAGAAACAGAGACTGGGGTTAGGGGGGGTTAACGACAGGTAGGAGAAACAGAGACTGGGGTTAGGGGGGTTAACGACAGGAGAGACAGAGACTGGGGTTAGGGGGGGTTAACGACAGGTAGGAGAGACAGAGACTGGGGTTAGGGGGGGTTAACGACAGGAGAGACAGAGACTGGGGTTAGAGGGGTTTAACGACAGGTAGGAGAAACAGAGACTGGGGTTATGGGGGTTAACGACATGTAGGAGAAACAGAGACTGGGGTTAGGGGGGTTAACGACATGTAGGAGAAACAGAGACTGGGGTTAGGGGGGTTAACGACAGGAGAGACAGAGACTGGGGTTAGGGGGGTTAACGACAGGTAGGAGAGACAGAGACTGGGGTTAGGGGGGTTAACGACAGGTAGGAGAGACAGAGACTGGGGTTAGGGGGGTTAACGACAGGTAGGAGAGACAGAGACTGGGGTTATGGGGGTTAACGACAGGTAGGAGAGACAGAGACTGGGGTTAGAGGGGTTAACGACAGGTAGGAGAGACAGAGACTGGGGTTATGGGGGTTAACGACAGGTAGGAGAAACAGAGACTGGGGTTAGGGGGGTTAACGACAGGTAGGAGAAACAGAGACTGGGGTTAGGGGGGTTAACGACAGGAGAGACAGAGACTGGGGTTAGGGGGGTTAACGACAGGTAGGAGAGACAGAGACTGGGGTTATGGGGGTTAACGACAGGAGAGACAGAGACTGGGGTTAGGGGGGGTTAACGACAGGAGAGACAGAGACTGGGGTTAGAGGGGTTAACGACAGGTAGGAGAGACAGAGACTGGGGTTAGAGGGTTAACGACAGGTAGGAGAGACAGAGACTGGGGTTAGAGGGGTTAACGACAGGTAGGAGAAACAGAGACTGGGGTTAGAGGGGTTAACGACAGGTAGGAGAGACAGAGACTGGGGTTAGGGGGGATAACGACACGTAGGAGAGACAGAGACTGGGGTTAGAGGGGTTAACGACAGGAGAGACAGAGACTGGGGTTATGGGGGTTAACGACAGGTAGGAGAGACAGAGACTGGGGTTAGAGGGGTTAACGACAGGTAGGAGAGACAGAGACTGGGGTTAGAGGGGTTAACGACAGGAGAGACAGAGACTGGGGTTAGAGGGGTTAACGACAGGTAGGAGAGACAGAGACTGGGGTTAGGGGGGTTAACGACAGGTAGGAGAGACAGAGACTGGGGTTAGGGGGGTTAACGACAGGAGAGACAGAGACTGGGGTTAGAGGGGTTAACGACAGGTAGGAGAGACAGAGACTGGGGTTAGGGGGGTTAACGACAGGTAGGAGAGACAGAGACTGGGGTTAGAGGGGTTAACGACAGGTAGGAGAGACAGAGACTGGGGTTAGAGGGGTTAACGACAGGTAGGAGAAACAGAGACTGGGGTTAGGGGGGGTTAACGACAGGTAGAAGAGACAGAGACTGGGGTTAGGGGGGTTAACGACAGGTAGGAGAGACAGAGACTGGGGTTAGGGGGGGTTAACGACAGGTAGGAGAGACAGAGACTGGGGTTAGGGGGGTTAACGACAGGAGAGACAGAGACTGGGGTTAGGGGGGTTAACGACAGGTAGGAGAGACAGAGACTGGGGTTAGGGGGGTTAACGACAGGTAGGAGAGACAGACTGGGGTTATGGGGGGTTAACGACAGGTAGGAGAGACAGAGACTGGGGTTAGGGGGGTTAACGACAGGTAGGAGAGACAGAGACTGGGGTTAGGAGGGTTAACGACAGGAGAGACAGAGACTGGGGTTAGGGGGGTTAACGACAGGTAGGAGAGACTGGGGTTATGGGGGTTAACGACAGGTAGGAGAGACAGACTGGGGTTATGGGGGTTAACGACAGGTAGGAGAGACAGAGACTGGGGTTAGGGGGGTTAACGACAGGTAGGAGAGACAGACTGGGGTTAGGGGGGTTAACGACAGGTAGGAGAAACAGAGACTGGGGTTAGGGGGGTTAACGACAGGTAGGAGAGACAGACTGGGGTTAGGGGGGTTAACGACAGGAGAGACAGAGACTGGGGTTAGGGGGGTTAACGACAGGTAGGAGAGACTGGGGTTATGGGGGTTAACGACAGGTAGGAGAGACAGACTGGGGTTATGGGGGTTAACGACAGGTAGGAGAGACAGACTGGGGTTAGGGGGGTTAACGACAGGTAGGAGAGACAGACTGGGGTTAGGGGGGTTAACGACAGGTAGGAGAGACAGAGACTGGGGTTAGGGGGGGTTAACGACAGGTAGGAGAACAGAGACTGGGGTTAGGAGGGTTAACGACAGGAGAGACAGAGACTGAGGTTAGGGGGGTTAACGACAGGTAGGAGAGACAGAGACTGGGGTTATGGGGGTTAACGACAGGTAGGAGAGACAGAGACTGGGGTTAGGGGGGTTAACGACAGGTAGGAAGAGACTGGGGTTAGGGGGGTTAACGACAGGTGAGGAGAGACTGGGGTTATGGGGGTTAACGACAGGTAGGAGAGACTGGGGTTAGGGGGGGTTAACGACAGGTAGGAGAGACAGACTGGGGTTATGGGGGTTAACGACAGGTAGGAGAGACAGAGACTGGGTGTTATGGGGGTTAACGACAGGTAGGAGAGACAGAGACTGGGGTTAGGGGGTTAACGACAGGTAGGAGAGACAGAGGACTGGGGTTAGGTGGGGTTTAACGACAGGAGAGACAGAGACTGGGGTTAGGGGGGTTAACGACAGGTAGGAGAGACTGGGGTTAGGGGGGTTAACGACAGGAGAGACAGAGACTGGGGTTAGGGGGGTTAACGACAGGTAGGAGAGACAGAGACTGGGGTTAACGACAGGTAGGAGAGGGATTGATCTTCTAGACATTTATGCACATTTCATTCAGCTGTAGATTTCATTCACTTATGATTGTGTGGTGTGTGTGTGGTGTGTGTGGTGTGTGTGGTGGTGTGTGTGTGGTGTGTGTGGTGTGGTGTGGTGTGTGTGTGGTGTGGTGTGGTGTGTGTGGTGTGTGGTGGTGTGTGGTGTGTGTGGTGTGTGTGGTGTGTGTGGTTTGTGTGGTGTGTGGTGTGTGTGGTGTGTGTGGTGTGTGGTGTGTGTGTGTGGTGTGTGTGTTGTGTGGTGTGTGTGTGGTGTGTGTGGTGTGTGGTGTGTGGTGTGTGTGGTGTGTGTGGTGTGTTCCAGGCATTCCAGTACCTAAGAGAGGAGGTAAGGACGTTCCAGGGGAAACCCATCAAGGTGAGTGTAGGGTCCTTTACTAAACAGTACTTTTCCATGCAAGTGGCAATCACATGATAAAAGATTGATTGATTGGTTGGCTGATTAATTAATTAATTAGGCGCGAATCAAGGCCAAGGTGATGGCAGTCACATCTTACGCTCCAAAGAATGGCTACAAGCCCTGCCCAATGGATCCCTGCACCAATCAGCAGCCTTACAGCCCATACTACGCACCGGCCACTTTCCATCAGCCCCTCCCACAGCTCTACACAATGACCAATCAGAGCTTGGCTGCCATGGCCGGATACACAGACCCTGCCATGGTGAGGTGTACATGCACACATACACACACACACACATACACACGCAGGCACAAAATCTCTCATGCAGGCGCAAGCGTTCTCTCACACTGGTGTCATTGTTGTTCTATCCAGCAGATGGCGTCATTCTCTGGCTTCATGGACGGCTTCCCAGGAGGCCCCAGCTTCAAACTATCCCCCTCACACAGACACAGGTACTACACTCCTGACTCGCATTCTCATTCTGGAGAGACATCTCTCTCTTTCTCCCAAGCTATCATTCTCTTGCTCTCTCTCTTTTTCTCTCTCTCTCTCTCTTTTTCTCTCTCTCTTTTTCTCTCTGTCTCTCTCTTTTTGTCTCTTTCCCTTTCTGTGTTTTGCTTGACGATGGAACCATGGTTTTAGTTATGTTGTTTTTCCCTCTCTCCTCCAGTAGGGGGCAGCAGGACCAGAGGCGGCGGTCTGGCGACAGTGGGCCGGGCCTTCTGGATGATCCCCCCTTCTTCCCGGAGTGTGGACTAATAGGATGCGTCCCTGGCCCCCCCAGGCAGGGCCGGCCACGGTTACCAGGCAACAGGTGTAGGGAGGGAGAGGGGGGTCGACGTGGAGGGAGAGGGGGGTCAGGTTCCTCCCCCAGCACTGACAGAGGAAGGTAATGACCTCTGACCTCTAACCTCCAGCTCTTAGAGACAGGTCTCTTCCTGATCACTCATTTTCATTAGAGACTAAACGGGAGAGAAAATACTTTGAGGTACCACCTGAAGTGAAGTAGATGATGTTTCTCTTTCTCTCTTTCTCTCTGAAGGAGAGGTCCCATTGGTCAGAGGAAGAGAAGAGATGACAAGTACACTGTAAGTACTTAAAGATGTTTTGTATAATTTCAGCCAGTCGTTTTGATAGTAGTGCTCACAAACCAAAACGGGACCCCGAAAATGTTGCACAAGTTGTGTTTTAAGCAATGATATGTTACAAATTCATATTTGTACAATATGTAAAAAAAATTGTAAGTGCTTAAAATCCCATTAAATCTCTCTAACATGGGGATGGTTTTGAATAGTTCAAGGAAAAGCTCTTACTCGAGTGTGTTGTTTCTGTGGATATGTACTGTATGTCTGTGTTTAACAAAATGTGCATATAAACTTGTTTATAAATGTGTGTGTGCACGTGTTTAGAGAGGGCCCCCCCAGTCGCCCTCCCACTCCTTGTCTCCCAGGCTGGAGCTTGACCCCAATAGCTTCCCCCCGCTTCTCCTGGCTACAGCTTCTACAGCAACAGTTACCACAGCAACCAACATCCACAAGGCAACCAACAACCACAAGGTAACCAAGAGGCACACAAACACTGACACACACCCTCTACTTTCTTGTAAGGTTGTTTTTCTTGTTCCAGAGTCCAGTTAGAGACAGCAGTACCAGCCAACCAACCACTGTGACATCACAAGACCTCCAGCCTATCACAGCATTGCCTCAGAAAACCCTCCCCCTAGAGTGAGTATATTCTCCTTCCTTTTGAATCATCATCACTGTGTTGGGTCCCTTTCACAATGTGTTTTGTATGATTACTTTGAGGAAGAAAGTTACAAACAGACTTGTCAGTGTTATGGTATGTTATGGTTGTGTTGTGTTGTGTTGTGTTATATGGTGGTTGTTGCTGTCCCACAGGAAGCTGAAGGAAACCGTAGCGTCTCCCAAGAGGACCACAGCAGCTCGTCCGACCGCGAAAGAACCGCTTCAGACCACGAAGGAGAACGGACCAGCAGCGGTGAGACAACTCACAGACTACAGAGACAAACTGGTTAATAGTTGTTGTTTTTTATTGGTGAAGTTAAATGTACCACAGCATGGCTACATCTCAATAGTCTAAAATGGTTTCCTCACCTCATCAGTGCAGAGGAAGGAGAAGAGACTATTGAGATGCAGTCATCTGTCTACCAGAGAAGTAGTGTATGTTGGGTACTGACCTGTCCTGTGTTGTGATTGGTTAGGAGTCCAAGAAGCCAAGCTATGCTGAGATCTGCCAGCGGATACGAGCCAATCAGATGCTCGCCGCAAAGGCTACTGACCACACTCCCTTGGGGGCGGGGATTGTCCCAGCCTATCCTTCGCAGGCGCCTGACCCGGCCCAGTTATCACGGTGACCAGTGAGATAGTTACTTTCGGTTGGGGAGGGGAGGAGAGAAGTGGGAAGAAGTTCTTCAAGCCAAAGAAGAAGAAAAAAACATTGTAGCACTGTTGTTTCTCTCTGCTCTGTCTGTTTGTCCGTCTGATTTGACAGACCTTTCTGACTTTCTGAAATCTTTATATTTTGATATTGATTAATTTATTTTGATTAATATTGATCAGTATTTAGAGAATTGGACATCAGATTGCTGTATTAACTCCTTAGTCTAAATAACTTAATTGGAACAGTTACAGTAACTATGAACAGCCAGACACTGTTGATTCGAATTCCATTTGTGTTGATGGGGGGGGGTCTCTTACAGAAATACTTTAGAAGAGGAACAACTTGGGTTGATATTTATAAGTTTACATACAGATACAACACAGTTAGAGTTACATGAATTAACAATTTGAATTTGATTTGGAATCAGGGGTGGTGGGAGGAAAATAGTTTTCAGTTCGGATTTCCTGTGTTTGAGATAGATTAAGTATGTAAATGTGGGTATTAGATACAGAATTGAGGCATTATTTAAAAAGGTGAATGTTTAATTTTTTTCTGTACATATGTAAATAATTTGACTGTTATTAAACAAGTGCCTTAATAATAACAGTAAAAAGGTATATTTTCGCATAGTAATTTATTCCCTATTACTTACAATTCTAAAGTTTGGTTGAAGAAGTCAATATGGCTGGCTGAATCAGTCTAGCAAACTAAATTCGTACAGGAACCTTTCCTTCAGTAGCGGGCCGGCGGTCTGATTGTTCAAGTCGTGAGTGTCTGCACCTGAGAGAGTCGCTTTCCATTGTCATGTGGTGCTGAGTTCCGATTCTGTCGCTGTCGGCTTCTGTGGTGCTGAATCTCTGATCGCCGCTATTACAGCTTGTTAGTTTAGCCTACTTCAGCACCATTGGACCTTTAAATCATGTGACAAAGTCACCAAATGCTGTGTTATTATAAAATGCAGTGATACTATGGAGCTAGCTACTCTGCGTATGGGCTAATTCTCAGTATAACGTTGGTTGTGGCAAAATCAGATGAGTAAGTAGCGTACCTTGCCTGAGACTTGAAGGCTTGAGCTGAGCTCCCAGATCTAAGCCGAGTGGTGGGCAGAAAGCCCGGCTAGTGTGCTCCTTGGCAGGTCCATGGGCTTCATGAAGACCAGAGATCCACCATACATTGTTGTTGCCATAATTCAATGATATAGGCCTATACATCAATGTTGTGTCAAGAGGGTGGTGGTGGAGTGGTTGGCACATAATACCCCTGCCTCCCACGCGGCGCCCCCCTCGGTCCCTCCTGGTAGCACTCCTCTCCTCCATACATCACGTGACAGTAGCTCCAAACAGCGCGAGTCTCATCATCAGCACCGCATCCCCCGGGCAAGCAGCCTCGAGACCCACCGATCGACCCTCAGTGGTCCCTCATCACAGAGACGATAATAACGGAGAGGAGGTAGACTAACGAGGCCATGCCGGGGCCCCGGTAAACCGACAAAACATATTTTTCTCTTTGTTCGCCTCGACGCACCGCTCGCTGCCTCCGAGGAGGATCCGCGGAATAGCTCTCTCTGCTGGAGTAGAGGAGGAGACTGCAAACAGAGGGAGAACGGATAGATTTTTTCTACCGTATAACCTAATGGCAGAGCGTAGGCGTCGCCGTAAAGGGAAATGATGTTTTCTCTTTCTCTCTTTCTCTCTGAAGGAGAGGTCCCATTGGTCAGAGAAGAGAAGAGAGAGAGGATGACAAGTACACTGTAAGTACTTAAATGTTTTGGATAATTTCAGCCAGTCGTTTTGATAGTAGTGCTCACAAACAAAACGGGACCCCGAAAATGTTGCACAAGTTGTGTTTTAAGCAATGATATGTTAAAAATTCTATTGTACAATATGTAAAAAAAATTGTAAGTGCTTAAAATCCCATTAAATCTCTCTAACATTGGGGATGGTTTTGAATAGTTCAAGGAAAAGCCTCTTACTCGAGTGTGTTGTGTTCTCTGTGGATATGTACTGTATGTCTGTGGTTAACAAAAGTGCATATAAACTTGTTATAAATGTGTGTGCACGTGTTTAGAGAGGGCCCCCCCCAGTCGCCCTCCCACTCCCTGTCTCCCAGGCTGGAGCTTGACCCCCAATAGCTTCCCCCCCGCTTCTCCTGGCTACAGCTTCTACAGCAACAGTTACCACAGCAACCAACATCCACAAGGCCAAACCAACAACCACAAGGTAACCAAGAGGCACACAAAACATGACCACACCCTCTACTTTCTTGTAAGGTTGGTTTTTCTTGTTCCAGAGTCCAGTTAGAGACAGCAGTACCAGCCAACCAACCACTGTGACATCACAAGACCTCCAGCCTATACAGCATTGCCTCAGAAAACCCTCCCCCTAGAGTGAGTATATTCTCCTTCCTTTTGAATCATCATCACTGTGTTGGGTCCCTTTCACAATGTGTTTGTTATGATTACTTTGAGAAGAAAGTTACAAACAGACTTGTCAGTGTTATGGTATGTTATGGTTGTGTTGTGTTGTGTTGTGTTATATGGTGGTTGTTGCTGTCCCACAGGAAGCTGAAGGAAACCGTAGCGTCTCCCAAGAGTGACCACAGCAGCTCGTCCGACCGCGAAAGAACCGCTTCAGACCACGAAGGAGAACGGACCAGCAGCGGTGAGACAACTCCACGACTACAGAGACAAACTGGTTAATAGTTGTTGTTTTTGTATTGGTGAAGTTAAATGTACCACAGCATGGCTACATCTCAATAGTCTAAAATGGTTTCCTCACCTCATCAGTGCAGAGGAAGGAGAAGAGACTATTGAGATGCAGTCATCTGTCTACCAGAGAAGTAGTGTATGTTGGGGTACTGACCTGTCCTGTGTTGTGATTGGTTAGGAGTCCAAGAAGCCAAGCTATGCTGAGATCTGCCAGCGGATACGAGCCAATCAGATGCTCGCCGCAAAGGCTACTGACCACACTCCCTTGGGGGCGGGGATTGTCCCAGCCTATCCTTCGCAGGCGCCTGACCCGGCCCAGTTATCACGGTGACCAGTGAGATAGTTACTTTCGGTTGGGGAGGGGAGGAGAGAAGTGGGAAGAAGTTCTTCAAGCCAAAGAAGAAGAAAAAAACATTGTAGCACTGTTGTTTCTCTCTGCTCTGTCTGTTTGTCCGTCTGATTTGACAGACCTTTCTGACTTTCTGAAATCTTTATATTTTGATATTGATTAATTTATTTTGATTAATATTGATCAGTATTTAGAGAATTGGACATCAGATTGCTGTATTAACTCCTTAGTCTAAATAACTTAATTGGAACAGTTACAGTAACTATGAACAGCCAGACACTGTTGATTCGAATTCCATTTGTGTTGATGGGGGGGGGTCTCTTACAGAAATACTTTAGAAGAGGAACAACTTGGGTTGATATTTATAAGTTTACATACAGATACAACACAGTTAGAGTTACATGAATTAACAATTTGAATTTGATTTGGAATCAGGGGTGGTGGGAGGAAAATAGTTTTCAGTTCGGATTTCCTGTGTTTGAGATAGATTAAGTATGTAAATGTGGGTATTAGATACATAATTGAGGCATTATTTAAAAAGGTGAATGTTTAATTTTTTTCTGTACATATGTAAATAATTTGACTGTTATTAAACAAGTGCCTTAATAATAAACAGTAAAAAGGTATATTTTCGCATAGTAATTTATTCCCTATTACTTACAATTCTAAAGTTTGGTTGAAGAAGTCAATATGGCTGGCTGAATCAGTCTAGCAAACTAAATTCGTACAGGAACCTTTCCTTCAGTAGCGGCCGGCGGTCTGATTGTTCAAGTGGTGAGTGTCTGCACCTGAGAGAGTCGCTTTCCATTGTCATGTGGTGCTGAGTTCCGATTCTGTCGCTGTCGGCTTCTGTGGTGCTGAATCTCTGATCGCCGCTATTACAGCTTGTTAGTTTAGCCTACTTCAGCACCATTGGACCTTTAAATCATGTGACAAAGTCACCAAATGCTGTGTTATTATCAAATGCAGTGATACTATGGAGCTAGCTACTCTGCGTATGGGCTAATTCTCAGTATAACGTTGGTTGTGGCAAAATCAGATGAGTAAGTAGCGTACCTTGCCTGAGACTTGAAGGCTTGAGCTGAGCTCCCAGAGCTAAGCCGAGTGGTGGGCAGAAAGCCCGGCTAGTGTGCTCCTTGGCAGGTCCATGGGCTTCATGAAGACCAGAGATCCACCATACATTGTTGTTGCCATAATTCAATGATATAGGCCTATACATCAATGTGTGTGTCAAGAGGGTGTGGTGGAGTGGTTGGCACATAATACCCCTGCCTCCCACGCGGCGCCCCCCTCGGTCCCTCCTGGTAGCACTCCTCTCCTCCATACATCACGTGACAGTAGCTCCAAACAGCGCGAGTCTCATCATCAGCACCGCATCCCCGGACAAGCAGCCTCGAGACCCACCGATCGACCCTCAGTGGTCCCTCATCACAGAGACGATAATAACGGAGAGGAGGTAGACTAACGAGGCCATGCCGGGGCCCCGGTAAACCGACAAAACATATTTTTCTCTTTGTTCGCCTCGACGCACCGCTCGCTGCCTCCGAGGAGGATCCGCGGAATAGCTCTCTCTGCTGGAGTAGAGGAGGAGACTGCAACAGAGGGAGAACGGATAGATTTTTCTACCGTATAACCTAATGGCAGAGCGTGAGGCGTCGCCGTTACCACTGGAGGTTCGCGCCCGGCTGGCGGAGCTGGAGCTCGAGCTGTCAGAGGGTAAGAACAAACCCCGCGCGCACCGTTTTTCCGTTAACGTAGAGGAATCTCTACAGTAATGGCCCGTTCCCCCAGACCCCACTTTCTCTCCCCTGCTCCGCCCCTCCCAGATGTTTGTCAGAGCTGCCCTCCCAGCCTGCTTTAGCCGGGACAGGGTGAGGGGAGAGCAACAGCCCACTGCGGAATTGACCCGCCTGCCTTTGTCTCTCTGGTGGTGACACCGACACAAACCCGGTATTTGACCTTGAGACCATTGGGGTGTTAAGACTTGAAATACGTTTGTTGTCCGTGCGTCCACGGGCCTGTGTGCGTGCGTGTATGTGTTTAGGCCTATAAGTGTGTGTCATGCTCAAACGTATGAATTTAATAATATCAATGCAACACTGCGTGACAGGATACGGTTCTGTGGTGTGTGTTCGTGATCAGGCTCGGGCTCGGTGTTTTGGCCTGCACACTCAGCAGCTGCTGCTGCTGATGATGATAATGATGATGATTTGGGTGTTTTTTTTCTGGCGACGATTGAATCTAAAATAAAATAGCCTACACCGAATCTGTTAAATCACAACCAAGCGGATTCACCAATGGAATTCGGAGATTATTTTGCAGCGAGTAATTGTCAGATATATTGCGCATTTGTCTCTGCGTTATATAATGTTGACATATTTTATTCATATACGTTGTCTGCTCTCTATATATTGCTGTCAACGCTCCTGGTGTATGTTGTGTGTGTGGTTTACATCATGGGCTAGCGTGTTAGGGACACACTGTTGAACGCCTATAGCCTAATGGTGATGTGTTGACGTTTTTCATTGCAGCCAGTAGCGTATTTTTAATGCTATTATTGTTGGATCCCAAAACCAGCTGTCCCTCCATAGGCTGTTCATCAGAGCAGAACCAGGACATGACAGGTACTGATGGCGATACAGGTGCTCTACTGGAGATAGACAGGTGCTGGATGTGGACATGGATTGATGACTACTGACAGGGAGGTGTTAGGATACATCATGGTCTTTATCAGGTGTCGCTCTGTCAAAACATTGTTGATGTAGGCCCATCACTAAAAGCTGTATTAAAAGATCACTTGTGGAAGCAGTCAAAGTGAGCAGACAGTACCATTTTCTGCAGTGGTTCTGTTTTTGTCCAGCTTCTTTGGCTACACACTATTCTCCCACCTTCCTCTCTTCCTTTCTCTGGCCCATCGAGTGACCAGGGACAGGGACAGGGTATGTGTGTGTGTGTGTGTGTGTGTGTGTGTGTGTGTGTGAGCCCCCTGGCCCAGCTCTGGACACGCATGTGGAGACAGAGAGGACTCTGGGACACAGGTTTCAGCTGAAGCCCAATCCCCTAAATGACGTGTTGTTTGGTGTGTTGATTGTGGTGGGGGGGGATTTTTTTTACTAGGCCGTCTTTTGTTTTGGGGAAAGGGTATGTTTATGACACATAAAGGGGTTTGGATACGAGATAAAAAGAAAAAAAGGAGAGTGAAAAAAGGGGGGGAGGGGGGATCAGAGTGAAGAGGTAAAGGGGGGGGAGAGGGGTTGGGTGTGGAGGGAGGGGGGAGTTAAAATTTTAGGAAGGGGGGGGGAAGAGGGGGTTAGAGGTGATGAGAGGGGGGGAGGGGGTTTTGGGTTGGGGGGGGGGGGTTGGAGGTGGGGGGGGGTTTTGGGGTTGAAAGGGGAAAGGAGGGGGGTTTTGGGTTTTGGGGGGGAAAAGGGGGGGGGATTAAAATGTGCGGGGGAGGGGGGGGGAGGGGGGGGGGGGGGGGGGTTTTTTTTTTTTTTGGGGGGGGCCCGGGGTTTTTTTTTCTTTTTTTTGGGGGGGCGGGGGGGGGGGGTTTTGGGGTTTTGGGGGGGTTTTTTTGGGTTTGGGGGTGGCGGGGGGGGGGGGGGGGGGGGGTTTGGCGTGTGGGGGGGGGGGGGGGGTCTGGGGGTGGGGGGGGGGGGGTTTTTGATGCTGGGGGGGGAGGGGGGTTTTTATTTTTTTTTTTTTGGGAAAATTAAAAGGGGGGGGAAATTTAAAAATGGAAAAAAAAAAAAAAAAAAAAATATTTCCCAAAATTTTAGGGGGGGGGAAAAAGTTTCAATGAAGGAAAAATTTTGGATTTCATAAAAAAGGGAAATTCCCGGCCCAAAAAAAATAACTTTTTTTTAACGGGTTTTTAAAACAATTTGGGAAAAGGCTTTATAAATTTCCCCCTTGTTTTTTTGAAAGTTAAAAAGCGTGGATTTTAATAATTTTTGAAGAAAAGAAAAGAAAGGAGATCAGAGGGGGCCCAAAAATGTTTTGAACTCTGTATTTTTAGTGGGTATTCAACCCCCCACACACCACACAAACACAACCCAAAGGCAGGTATCATTAGTTAGCCCCTTTTTACATCTGACGTTGAAAACCAAATGGGCCCCCAGGCCTTCCAGGAAATGGTTTTTAGGAATCCCCCCTCCCCGCCGCTGCGTGGGGGGGGGGGGGAAAATGGGGTCTCCCTTGGACTGAGTGTGTGTGTGGTGTGTTTGGTGTGTGTGTGTGTGTTGTGTGGGTGTTTGCACGTGTGCAGCGTGTTATGTTTGGGGTTGTGAGGGGTTTTTGTTGTTTGTTGTGGTTTGTCAAAAACAGAAAGCCCCATGCGTTTTTGATCTGGAAAGGCCTCAGATAAAAAAAAACCACACAGCTGAAAAAAGCGAGAACGATGAGCAGATTGGACCCAAATGTTCGGGGTCCTCAATTTGTGAAACACATTTTCTTTCCGCTTTATTCTTGTCTCTCTCTCCCCTTTTCCCCATATTTTCCTTGTTTTCTTTTCTCTCTTCTCATTTCTCGCTTGTCCTTTTTCTGCCTTTTTTGTTCTCTATTTCTCTGTCTCCTTTCCCCCGAACCTTTTTTGTTCCCTTTGTCTCTTCTTTCCCCCCCCCCCCCCCCAAACACACACATACTTACATACAAACACTCGCTCTCTCACACACACTCACTGTGTGTGAATTTTTTCTATCTCTCTCGCTCGCTCTCTCTCTCTCTCTCTCTCTCTCACACACACACACACACACACACACTTTCAGACACCCACTCTCTCTCTCTCTTAAAACACACACACACACTGTAAAAGGGTTAACTGATACTCTTACACTCAAAACAACCTCTCTCTCACCCCCCCCCCCCCCCCCCCCTCTCTCCCTCTCTCTATCCCCCCCTCTCTCTGCTAGGTGACATCACACAGAAGGGTTATGAGAAGAAGCGGTCTAAGCTGATCAGGGCGTACGTTCCTCATCCTGGAGGTACATTAATACACAGTCCGTCCTCTAGTAGAACACCTCTATGCAGCACATCTATTCTAGACCCACTGGGTTTAACCCTCCTTCTTTAATCCCTGGCTCTCTCTCACTCTGGGTCACAAGATACTCTGTATTACTCCCAATACTCTCAATGTAGCAGCATATTCAATATGCTGAAAGCTCCTTCCACACTGAGAGTGTTTGGTGATTTTTGTATCTTTCTCTGTCTGTGGCTTGGATTGTATCTTTTTGACTCGCTCAATCATTTTCTGTGTGTTTTTCTCTGTGTGTGTGCTTGTCTCTGTGTGTGTGCTTGTCTCTATGTGTGTGCTTGTGTGTGTGTGCTTTTCTCTGTGTAGGAATGGAGGGTATGTCCCACCACCCCCTCTTCGGCCCCCCGTCTGCTGCTCGCTTCCACAGACGGCGCTCTTCTGGAACACGCGATGAACGCTATCGTTCAGGTACACACACACACACAAACACACACACACACACACCTTAACTACAGATAAGGTGCTGAACGTCACCTTAGAACAGAGTCATTCTAACTGTTGGTAGACTCACCTTTAGATTGACCTTTCATTAGTCAACATATAGATAGAAGTGTTTTGATTAAATTGACTAATACAATTCCTCTCTCTCCAACACCATATCACCCCCCAGACGTCCACAGTGAGGCGGTACAGGCAGTGTTAGCCAGACATGTGGAGAGCAAGGTGGCAGTGCCCATGCCCTCCAAACGACGATCGCTGGTGGTACAGACATCCATGGACGCCTACACACCCCCAGGTGAGACACACACACACATATCAGGTTATGATATGATTATGTTAGTGTTATGCTGTAGTTGTGTTGTATGAAGGTTGTATGAAGGCTACTGACCCTCACTAGGCCTGTCCTCATTCTCTTAAACGGTTAAGTTCTATTAAGGTTGTAGTAATGTTAGTTATATGCTATGCTACGCAGTTATGTTGAATGAAGACTACTGACCCTCACTAGGCCCGTCTTCATGGTCAGATAGGGTTGGGGTTAGGTTGTGTTTTGGTTAGCTATGGGCTGCAGTTATGTTGTATGAAGGTTGTATGAAGGTTACTGACCCTCACTAGGACTGTCCCCACTGTGCTCAGACTCTTCGTCGGGCTCGGAGGAAGAGGCGGGGCCAGGTGATGACATGCCGGGGATGGAACATTGGATGACTCGCCCCGCCCACTTAGGTCCAGCTCACCTAGGCTCCACCTCCTCGTCCTCCTCGTCCACTCAGAGCGGCGGCAGCGGCAACGCAGGACGACTGGCTGACTCGCTCGCACACGCCCACCTCTCACACCCACACCTCTCACACCCACACCTGACCCAGTCACACCACGTGTCAGCTCACCACTCACAAACACACCACGGTGAGTACAACTTCACTTTGCTTTTTTGTGTAACAGTGTGTGTGTGTGTGTGTTTACATCTAATTTGTGTTTGTATGTGTGTGTCTGCAGGTATAGGGCACCTGTCTCTGAAGCGTAAGCCAGCTCTGGGTGTGGCGGAGAACGGGGCTCTTCGAAACCGGGGAGTTGGGTTTGATATGGTGGGGTAAAAAATGGAGTTGACGGTAGTAGAAAAAAAAAAAAAAAAAAACAAACCAAAAAAAAAAGGGAAAAACAAAAAGAACAAATTTTAAAAAGTTTCCAAATTTTTAAATTATTATTTATTAATACTAATAATATAAAACAAAAATTTTTTAAAAACCCAAAAAAATTTAATTTTAAAAAAAATTATTTTATAACCCCTTTAAATTTAAAACTTTAAAATTTTATTTGGGTCTCTTATTTTTTTTTGGTTTTTTCTAAACTTTTTTATTTTCTAAGGGTTTTTTTATGCTTCTTTCTCGTAGCTTCCTGCATTAGCTGCTTCTTTGCTTTTCCCGCTTCTCTATCTTCTTCTTTTTTCTCTCTTTTCTCTCTCTTCTCTCTCCCCTTTCTTCTCTCCTTCTTCTCTCCCTTTCTTCCTCTTCCCCCTTTTTTTCTTCCTTTCTCTCTCTTTTCTCCCTCTTCTCCCTCTTTCTCTCTCTTCCTTTTCTCTCTCCTCTCTCTCTCCCCCTTTTTCCTCCTCTTCTTCTCTCTCTCTCTCCCCTCTCTCTCTCTCCTCTTCTCTCTCTCTCTCTCTCTTCTCTCTCTTTTCCCTCCTCCTATTATGGGTCTCATCGTCCTCCCTCCCCCCCCCTCCCCCTCGGGGCCCAAAAGGCCCCCCGAAACACCCCCGAAGTACGGCCCCAACCCAACCGGGGGGACTGGGGGGGGCCCCCCGGCAGGTCGGGGGTTCTGCCCTAGCCAGCCGTAGTGAAAAAATCTGAAAATGCCCGTGACCTCCGCTCAGAGAGCTTTGTTGAGACTTTTAAGAACTTTAGAAGGGAGGAGCTATCAACCAAAAATCGTTTTCAATAAATGAAATTAAGTAGGCTATCTGAAGGGGAGTGAAAGGTTTGCATTAACTTTAGTGTGGTAAGGGTTTTACTTGCAAGTTTAAAAAAAAAAATATTTTTCTCTGTTCCCGTTTGTCCTGTCTGGTTTTGTCTCTGTTTTTGTCTTGTCTTTCTGTTCTGTTCTGGTTGTGTCTGGTCTGTGTCTCTGTTTTTCCCGTCTTTGGTATGTGTTTTGTGTCGGTCGGTGGGCTGTGTTTGTCTCTTTTTTCTGTGTTGTGTCTGGTTTGTTTTGTCTCTTGTCTGGTTGTGCTGTGTCTTTTTCTTGTCTCTGTCTCTGTCTCTGTCTCTCTCTCTCTCTGTGTCTCTCTCTCTCTCTGTCTCTGTCTCTGTCTCTGGTTCTGTCTCTGTCTATGTCTTTGTCTTTGTCTTTGTCTCTGTCTTTGTCTCTGTAGTCCAGCAACCAGATCCCAAGCAGCGCCGTCCGGAGGGGGCAGAGATGTTAGCAGTGAGTGGAGAGGCCCTGGGGGTGGTGACTAACTGGCCCCCCTCCCTGGAGGCTGCTCTCCAACGCTGGGGCACAATTAGCCCTAAAGCCCCCTGTCTCACCAGCCTGGACAACACTGGCAAACCTCTATATGTACTCACATACGGTAACTACACACACACAGAGTCACACACACATACATACATCACAGGAGGCTGGTGAGGGGAGGACGGCTCATAATAATGGCTGGAATGGAGTGAATGGAATGGCATCAAACACATGGAAACCATGTTTTTGATGTATTTGATACCGTTCCACTGATTCCGCCCCCAGCCATTACCACAAGCCCGTCCTCCCCAATTGAAGGTGCCACCAACCTCCTGTGACACATATACACACACCACACAAACACACCGCACACACACACAGCCACACAGTCACGCCACACAAACACTCACTCAGCCCTGTGTTGTGTCCATAGGGAAGCTATGGTCTCGAAGTGTCAAGCTGGCCTTTAACATCCTCCACAAGCTTGGCAGCAAGCAGGAGCCCATGGTGCGACCAGGGGACAGGGTGAGTACATATAGAAGATCCATCCCTCTAATAACATAACACAAAACACTGTATTTGTGCTAGTTATGTTATTAATAATGGATATCAGAATTAAGGACAAGACGGATTGTAATATTTTCTCCCTGCCTGTGTTCCTCCGATCCCCTAGGTGGCACTGGTGTTTCCTAACAATGACCCGGTGGCTTTCATGGTGGCCTTCTACGGCTGCCTGCTGGCTGAGGTGGTCCCTGTACCCATAGAGGTGCCCCTCACACGCAAGGTACGTCTACATACATCTGGGTGTGGGGAAAAATGAATAGTCAGGGGTCCAAGCACAGAGCCCTGGGAACACCTTATTTCATTGACATACTGTATGTTGTGTTGTATAAGCAATAAGCACATATTGGGCTCCCGAGTGGCGCAGTGGTCTAAGGCACTGCATCTCAGTGCTTGAGGCGTCACTACAGACCCCCTGGTTCGATTCCTGGCGGTATCACAACCGGCCGTGATTGGGAGTCCCATAGGGCGGTGCCGGTGTAGGCCGTCATTGTAAATAAGAATTTGTTCTTAACTAACTTGCCTAGTTCAATTAAGGTTAAATACAATAAATATGTATAGGAGTTTTTGTGTTGGACATGAACGTGTCTGTCTTGTCCAATAGGATGCTGGCAAGCCAGCAGATCGGGTTCCTATTGGGTAGCTGTGGGGTTACCGTGGCGCTGACCAGTGATGCTTGCCATAAAGGCCTGCCCAAGAGTGCTACAGGAGAGATACCACAGTTCAGAGGTAAGTGAATGTGTGCGTGCATGTACATGTGTTCTAAGAATCTAGTTCCTAAACAGTGTATGAATGCAGCCAAATGATTGTCTCTCTCTCTCGCTCTAGGGTGGCCTAAGTTGCTGTGGTTTGTGACTGAGTCGAAGCATCTCTCCAAGCCTCCCAGAGACTGGTTCCCTCACATCAAAGATGCAAACAGCGACACAGCATATATAGAGGTAACACAGTCATTACATTTCCATTACAAAGATAACTTGTTATGTAAATCAATCCAAATTGCTTTAGCAAAAACCTAAGGGGTTTTTAATGTACAGTGTATTCGGAAAGTATTACATTTACATTTACATTTACGTCATTTATTGAAGGACCTTTGGCAGCCTCAAGTCTTCTTGGGTATGACGCTACAAGCTTGACACACCTGTATTTGGGGAGTTTCTCCCATTCTTCTCTGCAGATCCTCTCAAGTTCTGTCAGGTTGGATGGGGAGCGTCGCTGCACAGCTATTTTCAGGTCTCTCTAGAGATGTTCGATTGAGTTCAAGTCCGGGCTCTGGCTGGGCCGCTCCAGGACATTCAGAGACTTGTCCCGAAGCCACTCCTACATTGTCTTGTCGCCCCAGTCTGAGGTCCTGAGCGCTCTGGAGCAGGTTTTCATCAAGGATCTCTCTGTACTTTGCTCCGTTCATCTTTCCCTCGATCCTGACTAGTCTCCCAGTCCCTGCCGCTGAAAAACATCCCCACTGCATGATGCTGCAACCACCATGCTTCACCGTAGGGATGGTGCCAGGTTTCCTCCAGACGTGACGCTTGGCATTCAGGCCAAGAATCTTGTTTCTCATGGTCTGAGAGTCTTTAGGTGCCTTTTGGCAAACTCCAAGCGGGCTGTCATGTGTGTTTTACTGAGGAGTGGCTTCCGTCTGGCCACTCTACCATAAAGGCCTGACTGGTGGAGTGCTGCAGAGATGGTTGTCCTTCTGAAAGATTCTCCCATCTCCACAGAGGAACTCTGGAGCTCTGTCAGAGTGACCATCGGGTTCTTGGTCACCTCCCTGACCAAGGCCCTTCTCCCCCGATTGTTCAGTTTGGCTGGGTGGCCAGCTCCAGGAAGAGTGTTGGTGGTTCCAAACTTCTTCCATTTAAGAATGATGGAGGCCACTGTGTTCTTGGGGACCTTCAATGCTGCAGGCATTTTTTGGTACCCTTCCCCAGATCTGTGCCTCAACACAATCCTGCCTTTGAGCTCTACGGATAATTCCTTCGACCTCATGGCTTGGTTTTTGCTCTGACATCCACTGTCAACTGTGGGACCTTATATACACAGGTGTGTGCCAATCAATTGAATTTACCACAGGTGTACTCCAATGAAGTTGTAAAAACGTCTCAAGGATGATCAATGGAAACAAGATGCACCTGTGCTCAATTTCGAGTCTCATAGCAAAGGGTCTGAATACTTATGTAAATAAGTTATTTCTGTTTTTTATATGTAATAAATTAGCAACATTTTTGAAAAGCCTTTTTTCGCTATTGATCGTTATGGGGAATTGTGTGTCTCTGTGTCTGTCTCTCTCTCTCTCTCTCTAAACTACCTCTCTATCTTCGCTAACACGCGAAACCATCGAAATAATCAGATGCTGTGACTAAGAGCGAGCGATATAGAGCGGATAGACGCGCGCGGCAGCTCTCTCGCGAACTCGAGCGTGCAGGATAGCTCGTAGATCGACTCTCTCTCTCGATTCGCTCGCGCTCGTCTCTCTCTATCTGATATATCTATCTCTGCTCTCTTCTCTGCTCTCTCTCTCTATCATCGCTCACTCGATCGAGATCTCTTCTCATTCTCTCTCATCAGACTGTATATTTCTCTATCCTCTCGATCGCTTATCTCTATCTATCTTCTCTCAGCCTTTTCTATCTTCTCTCTCTCTATAACTCCACTATCTCTATCTCTCTCTCTCACTACTCTCTCACCAGACAAAACGTGTAAGATGGGAGTTTCTGGGAGTGACGGTGATGAGGATCGCTCTGCTAACTCACTGCCAAGCCCTCACACAGTCCTGTGGCTACACAGAAGGTAAGACACACACTCTACACACACACACACACACACTCTCTCACACACACACAGTTACACACTGCCAGGTAATCTCTCTCTCTCTCTCTCTCTCTCTCTCTCTCTCTCTCTCTCTCTCTCTCTCTCTCTCTCTCTATCTCTCTCTCTCTCTTCTCTCTCTCTCTTTGGCTTCAGTGATCTCATGACATCTATCTCTCTTTGTCTCCTTCCTGCTCTTGCTCCACCACTCCCTTCTACCCCCTCTCCCCTCTGTCTCTCTGCAGCGGAGACCATAGTGAATGTTCTAGACTTTAAGAAGGATGTGGGACTGTGGCACGGCATCCTCACGGTAAGACCTGCTACTAGAGGTCAGGTGTCAGGGAAAGTATGATAAGGTGTTAAGGGTTAGAGGTTAAAGGTTATGTGTGTCTCCTATCTCCAGAGCGTGATGAATATGATGCATGTGATCAGTGTTCCCTACTCTCTGATGAAGGTCAACCCGTTGTCCTGGATACAAAAGGTCTACCACTTTAAAGGTCAGACACACCCACCTGTCAATCAACTGCTCAATATTAAATGAATATGTCAATCTACAAGACATTCTTGTGAAGTCATATGTCAATCATTCAGGCAGTATATGATCTCAACTTTGTGTTAACACTGATGTCAACACTGTGTGTGTGTCTCTCCAGCCAAGGTAGCGTGTGTAAAGTCCAGGGACATGCACTGGGCTCTGGTGGCCCACAGAGAGCAGAAGGACATCAGCCTGAGTTCCCTCCGGATGCTGCTGGTCGCCGACGGATCTAACCCCTGTAACTCTACTTCCTATCTATCAAGCTATGTTTCTCCTAGTCCTCTATGGTTCTCTTAGTCCTCTCTGTTTCTCCGAGCCCTCTCTATGTTTCTCCTAGTCCTCTATATGTTTCTCCTAGACCTCTCTATGTTTCTCCTAGTCCTCTCTATGTTTCTCCTAGTCCTCTCTATGTTTCTCCTAGTCCTCTCTCTGTTTCTCCTAGTCCTCTCTATGTTTCTCTTAGTCCTCTCTATGTTTCTCCTAGTTCTCTCTATATTTCTAATAGCCTCTCTATGTTTCTCCTAGCCCTCTCTATGTTTCTCCAAGCCCTCTCTATGTTTCTTCTAGTCCTCTCTATGTTTCTCTTAGTCCTCTATGTTTCTCCTACTCCGCTCTATGTTTTTCCTAGCCCTCTCTAAGTTTCTCCTAGTCCTCTCCATGTTTCTCCTAGCCCTCTCTTTGTTTTCTCCTATAGCCATCTAATGTTTCTCCCTAGCCCTCACTTCTGTCTCATAGTCCTCTCTATGTTTCTCATAGTCCTCTCTATATTTCTCCTAGACCTCTCTATGTTTCTCCTAGTCCTCTCTATGTTTCTCCTAGACCTCTCTATGTTTCTCCTAGTCCTCTCTATGTTTCTCCTATCATCTCTATGTTTCTCCTAGTCCTCTCTATGTTTCTCCTAGTCCTCTCTATGTTTCGCCTAGCCCTCTCTATGTTTCTCCTAGCCCTCTCTATGGTTCACCTAGCTCTCTCGGTTTCTCATAGTCCTCTCTATGTTTCTCCTAGTCCTCTCTATGTTTCTCCTAGTCCTCTCTATGTTTCTCCTAGCCCTCTCTATGTTTCTCCTAGTCCTCTCTATGTTTCTCCTAGCCCTCTCTATGTTTCTCCTAGTCCTCTCTATGTTTCTCCTAGTCCTCTCTATGTTTCTCTAGTCCTCTCAATGTTTCTCCTAGTCCTCTCTATGTTTCTCCTAGTCTCTCTTTTCTACTCTTCCTTTCTCTTCTCTCCTCTCCTTCTCTCATCCCTCTCTCCTCTCCTCCTCCAGGGTCTATCTCGTCCTGTGATGCGTTCCTCAATGTGTTCCAGAGGTAAAGGCCTTGAGTCAGAGGTTCTCTGTCCCTGTGGCCAGCTCCCCGAGGGCACTGCCGTTGCCATTTAGGAGGGTTAGGGCTCCGTCAACACATCCCATGACTAAGCACACACCACACACAACACACACACACACACACACACACATCATCAGCAGCAGCATTCATTCTTGGTCGATCTTCGAGGAACAGGCTCAATATTTTGTTGGTTTGGAAAAGGATTCTGTCTAAGTTAAGAGGCTGAGGGCACACTACCATCATCATTAGTGTGATAGACTTCTTAGATCTTCCTTTTTCTCCATCACTCTCTGATCCAGGCCTGTGGAGGACAGTAGCCAGCCCCCAGGCCGAGGTGTTATCTCCATGCAGGGTCTGAGTTACAGTTTGGTCGCGTCGACCGGAGAGGAACGATGTCGTCCTCACTGGCAGGACAGGAGTGGGCACTGTTATGCCTGGAGGGAGGGGTGTGTGGTTAGGCCTGCTCTCTTTTCAGCCTGCAGTTTTGCAGTGTGTGTGTTATCTCCCCAGCCCTGGTTGTGTGGTGAAGCCAGAGTGTGTGTGTGATGTGTTCGCTCCCCAGACCTGGTGTGTGTGGTGAAGCCAGCAGATGTGTGGTGTTCTCTCCCCAGCCTGGCTGTGTGTGGTTTGAAGCCAGACGGTGTTGTTTGTTGGTGTGTGTTTCTCCCCAGCCCTCGGTTGTTTTGGTGAAGCCAGACGGTGTGTGTGTCTTCCCCAGCCCTGGTGTGTTTGGTGAAGCCAGACAGTGTGGGTGGTGTGTGTGTGTTTCTCTCCCCAGCCCTGGTGTGTGTGTGAAGCCAGACGGTGTGTGGTGGTTCTGCCCCAGCCCTGGTGTGTGGGTGAAGCCAGACGGGTGAGGTGTGTGTTCTCTCCCCACCTGGTGTGTGTGGTGAAGCAAGACGGCCGTGTGTGTGTGTTCTGTCCCAGCCCTGTGTGTGTGGTGAGCCAGGACAGTGTGTGTGTGTGTGTTCTCTCCCCCAGGCCCTGACCTGTGGTGGTGAAGCCAGACGGTGGTGTGTGTGTGTTATGTCCCAGCCATGGTGTGCTGTGGTGAAGCAGACGGTTTGTGTGTGTGGTTCTGTCACAAGCCTGGTGTTGTTGGTGAGCCAGACGGGTGTGTGTGTGTGTGTTCTCTCCACACTGGTTGTGGTGGTGAAGACAGACGGTGTTGTGTGTGTGGTCGGTCCCCAGCCCTGGTTGTGTGTGGTGAAGCCAGCCAGACGGTTTGGGGTGTGTGTTCTATCCCAAGCCCTGGGGTGTGGGTGAAAGCCCAGCGGTGTGCTGGCATATCCTAGTAAGACACAGATGAGATCGGGGAGAGTGTGTGTGTTCCGTCGCCGGGACTTCCTACTACGGACTGACAAGTGACAAGAACACCTTCGAGGTGAGGACAAGTAGACATACATTAATGAGACAGCATGTTTTGTTACAATGTGGTTGGGGTTGTTGTTTATGACATTATAATAGTGTGATAAATGTGGGGGGATAATGTGTGTGCGGTGTGGGGTATGTGTGTGCGTGTGTGGGTGTGTGTATGTGTGTGTGTGTGTGTGTGTGTGTGGGTGTGTGTGTGTTGGTGGTGTGTGTGTGGGTGGTGTGTGTGTGTGGTGTGTGTGTGAGGCTGTGTGTATAGGTGTTCCTTGTAGCGTCGGTGGAGGTTATGGTCAGTGGTTGCGTTGTCCGTACGGGCATGCTGGCGTCGTGGGTCCGGTGGCAGGTGGTCTGTGTTATTCTGGGCAAGAGGGATGGCCTCATGTGGTCAGCGGACGCAGACATAATGCTGATGAATATAGCCACCGCACTGGCCGTGGAGCCAATGAAATGTTACGGGGGAGGTAGCAACCGTGCAAAGACACTCCTAAATGACAGAGCCCACATGTTCTGGTCAAAGTAGTGCACTCCTGGGAATACTATCTCCCCCGGTACTACTGTATCTGCATGTAAAAATATGGGCAATACTGATACTACCATAACCATCTAATTCTGTCTGCCTGTCTGCATGTATGCCTGTCGCCTGTCTGTCTGTCTGTTCTGTTCTGCCTCCTGTTGACCTGTCTGCCTGTTGCCTGTCTGCCTGACCTGTCTGTCTGTCTGTCTGTCTGTATGTCTTCTGTCTGTTGTCTGTCTGTCTGGTCTGTAGCCTGCCTGCCTGCCTGCAGACTGCCTGCCTGCCTGCCTGCATGCATGCCTGCCTGCCTGTCTGTCTGCCTGCATGCCTGCATGCCTGCCTGCATGCCTGCCTGTCTGCCTGTCGCCGGATAGACAGGGTTCAGGTGACCGTGCTGCGTGATGAGCGTATCGTGGTCGTAGCGGAGTCAGAGACCAGCTCTACTGAGGAGGACAGCTTCCGTGGATGAGCCGCGTGCTTCAGGTAACACCACCACAACACACCACAGTACGACCAAATGCCAGGTAACACCACCGCAACACGACACAGTTAAGACCAGAATGCAGGGTACACCACCACAACCAACGACCACCAGTACGGACCATAATGAGAGGTAACACACCAAACACGACCACCAGTACGGACCATAATTGCAGTTAGGGTAACACCACCGAAACACGACCACAGCTCGACCATAAGCAGGTGGTTAACACACCACAAACGAACCACAGTGACGACCATAATGCAGGAACACCACCGCAACACGACCCCACCACATTACGACCATAATGCAGGTAAAACCACCGCACAACACGACCACAGTACGACCATAATGCAGGTAACACCACGCAACACGACCACAGTACGACCATAATGCAAGGTAACCACCACCGCAACACGACCACAGTACGACCATAATGCAGGTTGGAACACCACGCAAACATGACCACAGACGAACATAATGCAGGTAAACAACACCGCAAAACACGACCACAGTACGGACCATAATGCAGGTAACACCACGCAACACGACCACAGTACGACCATAATGCATGGTAACACCACCGGACAACACGACCACAGTACGACACAATTGCGGGTAAACACCAACCACAACACGACCACAGTACGACATAATTGCAGGTAAACACCACCGCAAAACGACCACCAGTCAGTATGACCATAATGCAGTAAACACCCACCGACAACACGACCATCAGTACGACAATTTAATTGCAGGTAACACCACGCAACCCGGACACAGACGACCATAATGCAGGTAACACCACCGCAACACGGGACACAGACGACAAAATGCAGGGTAAAACCACCGAAACACGCCCACGTACGGGAACCATAATGCAGGTAACACCACCGCAACACGACCACGTCGACCATAATGCAGGTAAAACACCACCGCAACATGACCACAGTACGACCATTAATGCAGGTAACACCAACGCAACACGACCACAGTAGAACATAATGCCAAGGTAAACACACCGCAACACGACCACAGTACGGACCATAATGGCAGGAACACCACCGCACACGACCACAGTACGACCATAATGAAAGGGTGTACACCCGCAACACGACCACGTACGGACCATAATGCAGGTACACCACACACAACACGACCCCACAGTAGACCATAATGCAGGTAACACCACCACACACGACCACAGTACGAAAATGAATGCAGGGTAACACCACCGCAACACGACCCAGACGACCATACTGCAGGTAAACAACACCGCAAACACGACACCAGTTACGACCATAATGCAGGTCACACCCACAAACAACACGACCACAGTTAAGACCCTAAGGCCGGTAACACCACCAAAAAACACGACCACAGTACGACATAATGCAGGTAACACCACCGCAACACGACCACAGTACGACCATAATGCAGGTAACACCACCGCAACACGACCACAGTACGACCATAATGCAGGTAGGTAAACAACCACCACAACACGACCACAGTACGACCAAATGCAGGGTAACACCACCGCAACACGACACAGTACGACCAAATGCAGGTGGTAACACCACCGCAACACGACCACAGTACGACCATTAATGCAGGTAACACCACCGCAACACGACACACAGGACGAACCATTAATGCAAACCAGGACGGTGTTAAAAATGTGTGTTGCAATACGCTTCTAAAATGTTGCAATAAGCTATACAGTGTAATGTTGCAATAGGCTATACAGTGTAATGTTGCAATAAGCTATACAGTGTAATGTTGCAATAAGCTATACAGTGTAATGTTGCAATAAGACTATACAGGTAACTGTAATGTTGCCAATAAGATATACAGTGTACTGTGAATAAGCTATACAGTGTTGTAATGTTGCAATAAGTATACAGTGTAAGGTTGCAATTAAGTGATACGTGTAATGTTGGCAATAAAGCTATACAGTGTATGTTTTTTCGAGTCAATTCGATTGACTTTTTTCTACCTTGCACCTGGGAAATTGTTAGAGGTTTTTCATGATCTCTTGTCTTCTCCCCTGTGTGTGTGTGTGTGTGTGTGTGTGTGTGTGATGTGTGTGTGTGTGGGTGTGTGTGTGTGTGTTGTGTGTGATTGAAGGCAATTAGGACAGTATCCATGGTGTGGGTGTGGGTTCTGCCTGGGGTTAGTTCCTGCCAACACCCTCCCTAAGACCCCCCTGGGGGGTATACACCGTTGAGAACCAAACAGCTGTAACCTGGGGGGGGGTTGCATCCTGTAACGTCCTATGTGTCTCACACCTGTTACCAACCTGCCAAACCACGACAGAAACAACAAGGGGAGAAGGGATCGCGTGAGGGAGGTCGGATCGCGGACTGGAGGAGGATACTAGCTCTCCGACGAGATGAGCGAGAGCGCGCGAGACTTGACGAAGAGATATTCCCCCGAGGGACGGAGCGTAAGTGGATTGTTATTTATGATGGTAGCGGGCCGCGGGAGGCCCCTTGACTCCCTATTCTGACTTGAGTCGACGACGTATTAAAGATGACTTAAGTCTGACTTTTCAGCTGCTCACACTTCCCGGGGCTTTGTGCTGATCCGCCATCGATGGGTCTTGATATGATGGCAGCTGAGGGCGAGAGAAGCCGCGACAGAATTGTTTTCCGACGAGCAGACGTGATACCCTGTTCACTTTTTCCCGACGGTCATGGCGTCTCCTCCCAGTAGACCTTTTGAGGTCCGAATCCGATTTCCGGAGAGAGATATTCTTAGGTCTTGTGGATGATGGCTTAGAGTTGTTCTTTCGGTCGTGCGCCGAGTGCGTGGCGACGAGGGCGATGGAATTTCGCCGTTAGGGTGGGTGGTGTGACTGGCTGGCATTACCCCGCCGGACTGATGTTCGGGTTGCCTCTGAGCCGGATCGCTATTCCTTGGATCTGACTCTCGAGTGGAATTCTATGCGAGAGTCGCGCGATTGTGTCTATCCAACGCTCTGAGGATATCCTCGACTCGGATTTTGCGCCCCTGAATGATACAACCTGAGCGCCCTCGGATGCACAACCGAGGATCTTGACGAGGGTCCCGTCTTTGGCGAGAGATCTACCTGAGACGGGGACTTAGGTCTTGAGCGCTGGACGCTTGCGAACTCGCGTTGCAGTACTCTATTGACGTGTGCGAAATGACGGTCCGATCGAATAAGGTGAGTGGGGGGCTGATCGTCAAAGGACTTATGGGCCCTTGACCCGGACGGTTGACTTTTCCGGGTACTTCACTTCGACCCCACTCGTTGAGATGGGGGACTTCTTTTCAGGTGCGAGCTACCTCCGGACAAGATTTTGTCCTGCCTTTCGAGGGCTTTTCCCTCGTGAGCTCTGGGTAATAGACAGGACGTGGGATACTTTATTTTGTGACCCCCCTTGTTCCTGGGAACCATCTTAGTTTTTGCATGCATCTCTTCCTCTCGGCTTTGTCGGCGACCGTCGGCGAAGGTTTTTCCCCCGAGAGACGAGAGAGAGAGAGCTTGAGACCGAGGAGACGATGACCACATTCCTTGTTTTCATCCGGTGGTATAGGATATCCGAGCACCTTACTTCGGTCCCGATGAACAATGAGGTGAGACGGTTTGAGGATGGGTTGGTACGATTGTGTCACCCATCGACCATATGATGTGTCAAGAGGATCTGGACGAGGATGAATTTTCGAACTTTCTGGGCATTATGTGTTGATGAGATTTCTGTGTCCTGGGAGACCGTATTCCGAGACCTCTCGAGTGGGAGGTGGGTTTTTTTACCCGTAAGATGTTTTAGCGACTGTTGTTTGATCCTCGCGGTCTCTTCCGACAGTACGTGATCTCCAACCTCGAGAGGGCGAGCGGAGCTAGAGTGATGAATGTCGAGAGACTCGGAGATGAGATGGAGAGAGGAGATTGCCCGGTGACTGAGTAGGAGCGATGCGAATGACAGGAGAGAGAGAGAGTGAGAGCGTGATTACGGGAGAGACGAGGAGAGAGAGGAGGCAGAGAATAGAGAGAGGACGAGTTAGAGAGGAGAGAGAGAGAGAGGGAATTAGAGAGAATTAGGAGAGAGAGGCGACGGAGTTAGAGAGAGAGACGGAGGTTAGAGAGAGGGAGGGAGTTCGAGAGAGGTAGGGAGTTTAGGAGAGAGAGGGAGTTAGAGAGAGAGAGGAGTTGATGCTCGTTTTAGCAGAGCGATTTAGTAAGATGACAAGCAACTTGCGGAAACTGACGAACATAGTAGAGCTCTTATAGCCTCTCAAGCTTGCTTGTTGTATATGGCATTCAAATAAATGTATTGGACGTGTCCTGACCTCGGGTGTGTGTGTGTTGTAGAGATTGGTCCTTGGCCTGCTGTGATGGTGGGGAACTGGTTCTGGAAGAGGATCGCTATGGCCAGCGGCAGAAGAGACTGGGGCAGGACTGAGACAATGACCAGGTAACACACATATCTTCCCCTCGACAAAACAGAGGATTTTAAAAGGGGTTTTTTTAAAAATTGAGGGGGAATTTTTTTTTTACAGCGTCTGTGGGATACTTTTTGTGTGCCCTGTAGTTCCTGTTCCCTGTCCAGAGGTGGCAGGGGAGATTCAGACACGCCGAAAACCACCTCACACAGGTAGCCCCCGGGAACACCACAAAAAACCCACAAACAAAAAAACAACACGCAGACAAAAAAACAACAACCCATGGATTTGAAGGGACGGGATGGACCGGGATGCCTTGGTTTTGAGGGAAACCCCCCAACCCCCCCCAAACCTTCACTCCCCACTAATTCAATTCAATTAAGAAGGGGGGAAGGAGGGGGGGAAAAATATTTTAACACTTCCTTTTTGGGGGGAGGGGGGAAGGAGAGGGAGGGAGGGGGGGAAAAGGGGAGAAGGGGAGAGAGAGAAAAGAGGGAGGAAAGAGGGGAGAGAGGGAGGGGGGGAGAGGGGGGGGAAGGGGGGGAGGGGGGGAGGGAAAAAGAAGAAGAAAAGGGAAAGGGAAAGGGGAAAAAAAATTTTAAAAGAAAAGGAAAAGAAAAACAAAAAGATCCACTTTTCTCTCTCTTTTCTCCTTCTCTCTTTTTCCCCCTTTTTTTTTTCCCCCTCTTCTTTTCCTCTCTCCCCTTTAGGGAGCAGTGGTCTAGTTCTCGAGGTCTTGCCCATAAGAGGGCAGAGAGGTTGGCTCTGTGGGGGAGAGGAGGACACAGGAGGGAGCCCACAAAAAGGGTTTCTACCCACCAGGTAACCACCCCAAAAAAACCACAGACAGAGGTGACCCCCAAAATAACTCTTCACTTCATCCTATGTGTGTTACAGGTAAGCCCGAGCACCCTTTAGGGTTTGCGGACGCTGGGGGGGGCCATCACACCCCGCCCGCCCCACCCCAAAACCAACCACCTGCCCACGGCAAGTGACGTAGAGGGAGAGACAATAGTGGTTAAACGAGGTCAAGCTCCCCAGGAAAAGGAAAGGAGGGGGGAAAAGGGGGGGGGGGGGAGGGGAAAAAAAAAGGGGAGGAGGGGGGGGGGGGGGGAGGGGGGGGGGGGGGGAGGGAAGGAGCGGGGGAGCCCCCGGGGGGGAAAAAGGAGGGAGGGGGGAGGGTAAAAATAATTTATTATTATTGTTTCGGGTAAACCCCACCTACTTTTCCCTCTCATCCCCCCGCCCCCCCCCCCCAAAAACCCCCCCCCCCCCCCTTTTTTTAAAAAATTTTTGTCCCCCCCTTTCCCAGGCAGGTTTAAGGGGGGGAAAAAGGGGGGGGCGGGGGGGAAAAAAGGGGGGGGGGGAAAAAAAAGGGGGGGCCCCCCCGGGGCCCCCCCCCCCCGGCCTTGGGGGGCCCAACCCGGCCCCCGGGGGGCCCCCCCCCCATTGAAAAGGGCCCACGCGCCCCCCACCCCGCCCCCCCAAAACCCGCCCGGGCCCCCCCCGGGGGGGCCCCGGGACGACCCGCCCCCGGGGAAGGGGGGGGGAGGGGAAGGGAGGGGCGGGGCGGCCCCGGGGGAAAAGGAAAGGGGGGGGAAAAAAAAGGGGGGGGAAAAAGGGGGGGAAAAAAAGGGAAAAAGGGGGAAAAAAGGAGGGGGGGGAGGGGGAAAGGGGGGGAGGGGGGGAAAAAGGGGGAGAGAGAAAAAAAAAAGGGAGATTAAATTTTTCAAAAATTTTAAATTCATTTTCTTTATTTTTTTAAATTTTTTACTTTTTTTAATTTTCCCCCTTTTCCCCCCATCATCTTCCCTTGATAACAGGGGTTCATTTAACTTCTTTAAACTCCCCATAAAAAACTCCTCCCCCTACACTTCCCCCTAACCTTTTCTAATTTAAAATTTCCCCATTTTTATTTTTCCCTTATTTTTTTTTCTTCACTTTCTTTTTTGGTTTGTCGGGTTAGCATTTTTTAAATGCCCGGGGCTTTGCGGATTTTTAAAAGGGGCCCGTTTGGAGGGGGTTAACAAATTTTGTTTCGTACCTGGAGAACCCCCAGGGATAAAGGTCCCCTGAACCCGGCCCTACCGGTTGGCCCCACTCGGCTTTGGGGGGGAGGGGGAAAAATTCCCCCAATTTTGTAACCCCCCTGTTTTTTTTTTTGTTTTCCCCCCGGATTTAGGGTGTATACGGGACGGGGGAGAAAAAAAAAAACCCCCTAACCCTGACCCTAACCCTGCTACCAACCCATGGTTTGGGCCATCGGGCCCCGGCTACCCCTAATTACCCAACCCCCTTAACTGATCTTTCCCTTTCCCTTGGGCTAAAAGGGAAAAAAAAAAAGGGGGGGGGGAGTTGTTTGGGGGTGGGGGGGGAGAAAAAATTTTTAAAAAAAATTTTTTTCTCCCACCACCCCCCCCCCACGCCCCTTTTCCCCCCCAAAAACACTCCCCCCCCCAAAAAAAATTTCCCCCCCCATCTCCCTTATTTTAAACTTTAATTTCCTTCTTTCCCTTCCTTTTTTTTCCCTTATCTTTTTTCCCTTCATCTCTCTTTTCCCTCTCCCCCAGGTAAAAGTGTTCGGCCTTGTGATGACCCACGGTCATTGAAAACCCTTGCGGTCTAAGGAGGCGGTCGCCACAGGGACTTTCGGGAAAAAGGGCCTCCCGCCCTGGACACGGGTCAGCCTAACCCCACAGTTCTAGATTTCGGGGTTAGGGTTTTTTGTACGTATCTTAGGGTTAGTGGATGTTTTTTATGTTCTGTCGGGCTGTTAGCCTGGGGGTGTTTGTATGATCTGTCAGGCTGTTGGGGAGTTTGATGTACTGTCAGGTGTTAGCTGGATTTTTTTTTATATTTGTCGGGCGTTAATGGATTTTTGTTTGGTGTTAACTGAATATTTTTTGTGTTATCGTGACCTGCCAAAGAAAAAAGCCCCCAGCGCTGCATAAGCCCTGAACCTGAACCCCGGGCCTACGGATTCAGGGCACTACGGATGCTGGCTGGATAAGGAAATTAAACCCCCCTAATTCTGACCAACCCTCTGTTCTGCCCTTTTAACCTACCTGGATTCAGGGTTCCAACTGGCATGCTGGTGGGAAGGTAACATAACCCCTAACTTGACCCCTAAACCTTTCTGCCCCTTTACCCTCCCTGGATTCAGTTGTCCATACCCCCCTGTGGCTGGATAAAGGTAACTTAAAGCCCTAATTTTGCCCTTATCCCGCTTTTATCCCCTGCTTCCCTAGTGGTAAAGGGGGTTCCTATGTGTGTGGTGTTTTTGGGGGGTTGTGTGTGTTGGTGTGTTGTTTTGTGGTGTGTGGTGTGTAGATGTCCTAAGGGGGGGAGCGTTTGTCGGTCGGTAAAGTGGGCAGTGTGAAATGTTTCCCCCCGAGGGAGCCTTTCTTTTGACCCTACTGCGGCTGGGCTTCGTCCCGGGTTTTGCAGGAAACACACCGAAACACCAAACACACCGTGACTAAACACAGACAGAGGCCGCAGGGCCCAACACCACCCCTCAAAACGTTTAAAGTCCAAAATGCATTCCCTTTAACCTTTTAATCTTCCCGTGTATACAGGGAAAAAGTGATCCTACCCCCAGTGGTGGGGGCTAACCCAGCCCCGTGGTTTGGGGGCGTCCCAGCTCCGGGAGGGGCCAAATTCTGTTTTTTACCGCTATGGAGTCGCATAAAGGATGGGCCCGCGACAGAGGCAAAGAAAGGAACACACATAGAGTTCTCATCGTACACGCATAAGGTTTTTATCGTACACAAAATAGATTTTTCCCTCATCACACACACTAGAGTTCTCATCGTACACACACCACTAGAGTTCTCACGTACACACATAGAGTTCTATCTAACACACTAGAGTTCTCATCATACACACTAGAGTTCATCGTACACACACTAGAGTTTCACGTACACACCACTAGAGTTCTCATACACACATAGAGTTCTCATCGACACACACAGAGTTCTCATCGTACACCACACTAGAGTCTCATCGTACACACCTAGAGTTCTCATCGTACACACACTAGAGTTCTATCGTAACACCACTAGAGTTCTCATCGTACACACACTAGAGTTCTCATCGTACACACCCCTAGAGTTCTCATCGTACACACACTAGAGTTCTCATCGTACACACACTAGAGTTCTCATCGTACACACACTAGAGTTCTCATCGTACACACACTAGAGTTCTCATCGTACACACACTAGAGTTCTCATCGTACACACAACTAGAGTTCTATCATACACACTAGAGTTCTCATGTACACACACTAGAGTTCTCATCGTACACACACTAGAGTTCTCATCGTAACACACAGAGTTCTCATCGTATCACACACTAGAGTTCTCATCGTACACACCACACACCTAGAGTTCTCATCGTATACACACTAGAGTTCTCATCGTACACACACTAGAGTTCTCATCGTACACACACACTAGAGTTTTCTCATCGTACACACCATCACACAACTAGAGTTTCATCGTAACACACTAGAGTTCTCATCGTATACACACTAGAGTTTACCTATTCACCGTCACACACACTAGAGTTCTCATCATACACACGCTAGTTCTCATCATACACACTAGAGTTCTCATTGTACACACACTAGAGTTCTCATCGTACACACACTAGAGTTCTCATCATACACACACTAGAGTTCTCATCGTACACACACTAGAGTTCTCACCGTACACACACACTAGAGTTCTCATCATACACACGCTAGTTCTCATCATACACACTAGAGTTCTCATTGTACACACACTAGAGTTCTCATCGTACACACACTAGAGTTCTCATCATACACACACTAGAGTTCTCATCGTACACACACTAGAGTTCTCATCGTACACACACACTAGAGTTCTCATCGTACACACACACTAGAGTTGTCATCGTACACACACTAGAGTTCTCATCGTACACACACTAGAGTTCTCATCGTACACACACTAGAGTTCTCATCGTACACACACTAGAGTTCTCATCGTACACACACTAGAGTTCTCATCGTACACACACTAGAGTTCTCATCGTACACACATTAGAGTTCTCATCGTACACACACTAGAGTTCTCATCGTACACACACTAGAGTTCTCATCGTACACACACTAGAGTTCTCATCATACACACACTAGAGTTCTCATCGTACACACACTAGAGTTCTCATCGTACACACACAAGAGTTCTCGTCTTGCCTGAAAATTCGCCCAGTCTTAGCGAAGTCCCCATTGAGCTGAAGCCCAGGCCCAGTCTGTCATCACAGAAATGTGCCCGAACGCGAAAAAAAAGCCTGATTTCTAGAAAAACAGTATATTGATTTAAACTGGTGTTGAGAACAATGCGGCGGAGGCGGGCGGCAGGGAAGTGAGGAGACGAGGAAACAGTTGTTGTCTTAGAAAAGCACAGAGAGAGGAAAACTCAGTTATGATCAACTGAATGACGACAATATCGGAATAAACGCAATTGAAGGCATGTATCAAATTGTTGCTTATACTGAAATTCCCAAAGTCACATCCAACCGTTATACTAATTTAAAGCAATAGCCGTGTGTGGTCAATGATCATTTCAGCGCCATTTTGATTGGGACAGCGCCATCGCACTGCTTTAAGACAAGCGTGGGGACTCGTCTTGATAAATCAATCAATGTCAGATTTGTGTTTTCACTGAATCTCCGTTTGGATATTTGGTAACAGTTAGGCTGGGGAAATGCTAGCTAAATTAAGGTGAGTGCTCATGATCATCTTTATTCCAGTTTGCTCATAAATTAGCTGATCAGAACATTTTGCTAGCATGTTATGTAACTTAACAAATGAATTTTGCTCTTCACTCACGTAGTAGCCTGTCCAACTGCCGACCAAAAGCCTGTCTGATTATCAATCAATGTGATTTTGTTTCACTGTATATCCATCCATCTGTATATTTGGTTAGGCTGATTGATCTCTGGCTGGGTGAATACGTGGAGGAGGTATCATTCATCTATTTGTTTGCTCATCTGTCACTGATCAGAAACATTTAACATGTAGCCTAAATCAAGTGTATTATTTTGCTCTTGAGTCACGTATAGGCTATAGTAGTCATATATAATCTATCCACCATCGGGCAGTGAGAGCGCGTCCTGTTCTAACGTAACTTACTTCATTATAATCAGTCAATCATTCATTCATGTCATTACACAGCATACGAGTCATTCATGCCTTTAAATATAATCAAGCATTTTATTTTGACAATGAAAGAACAAAGGGAGCCTTGAATAATGAATCAATAGTCCTAAATAAATAACTAGATCTTCTGTCAAACACCCATTTGAATAATGGCTCAAAAGCCCTGTGTTTTGAATGCATGTTTTAATTCCGAAATTACATTTGGATCAGTTATGGGTCTACTTTCAAAGGTCCAGCAAAGGCACATTAGCAGGGCAGTCATTATAGGGTACTTTTCATTTGGATGTATCTGCCTTAACAGATGACATTGGAATATGTGCTTCTCCTGATTCTGAGATGTGCTGCCTGTTTGGTCTTGTGGATCATCATTCGCCTGAGTGCACTTTAGTCTATTCGTATCACAATTTGAAACATGTCAATGATCAGAAAAATAAGTTTCATCATGACCACTAATTTCTCTGGCCCAGCCAATATTGGAATGGTGGCGCTGCTAGTATCTGCTACTGAGACAGAGAGCAGCAGTAAAAGGTGCGCAGACAGACAGTTTTTATTTTGTAACACGGCAATCCTGAAACCCGCCCGGCACAAATCAATTCAGAGACTTTGAGGCCCGGACTGGCCGTCGGGCCCCATCGGGTTCGGGCTGAGAATGAGAACTCTTACACACATCCACAAACACACACAGTTCACATGCAGGGAGAACTAAATCAAGTGCTCGTTGTAATGTCTTTGAATTGACTCAGTAAACCGCGTGTTTGTGGCCTGAGGTGTTGTCTGATTGGTTGCTGATGGACAGACTGAGTTTATTTGAAGAGATTAACTTTCGCCATGGAAATCGCCATGGAAACTGGAAGCTGACTCACTGAGACACACACAGGGAACAGATCCAGGAACAAACAGCAGATTTATATAGTCGTCAGTAGGATGAGGGAGGATGATGAGGGAGGATGAGGGAGGATGAGGGTGGATGATGAGGGAGGATGAGGGAGGATGAGGGAGGATTAGGGGAGGATTAGGGAGGATGAGAGGGAGGATGAGGGAGGATTAGGGAGGATGAGAGGGAGGATGAGGGAGGATTAGGGAGGATGAGAGGGAGGATGAGGGAGGATGTGGGAGGATTAGGGAGGATGAGAGGGAGGGGATGAGGAGGGGATGGGAGGATAGGGAGGATTGGGGAGGAGAGGAGGATTGAGGGAGGATGAGGGAGGATGAGGGAGGGGGGGATGAGAGGGAGGAGGGGAGGATAGGGAGGATGAGAGGGAGGATGAGGGAGGATTTGAGGGAGGATGAGGGGAGGATGAGAGGGAGGATGAGGGAGGGAGTGAGAGGGGATGAGGGAGGATGAGGGGGGAGGAGGGAGGATGAGGGGGGAGGGAGGTGGGGATGAGAGGAGGATGAGGGAGGATGTGGGGAGGTTAGGGAGGATGAGGGAGGATGAGAGGGGGGGATGAGAGGGAGGATGAGAGGGAGGATGAGGGAGGATGAGAGGAGGAGAATGAGAGGGGGGATGAGGGAGGATGAGGGAGGATGAGAGGGAGGATGAGGGAGGATGAGAGGGAGGATGAGAGGGGGGATGAGGGAGGATGAGAGGAGAGATGAGAGGGGGGATGAGGGAGGATGGGGGCAGGAGGAGGGAGGATGAGAAGGGAGAATGAGGGAGGATGAGGGAGGATGGGGGAGGATGAGGGAGGATGGGGTAGGATGAGAGGGAGGTAAAGATTGAAATGTTGTGTACCCCTCTTCTCTTCCCCATCTCTCCTCCTTTCCCTCTCCAGGCGCGGGGTCTGGATCTGTCCCGTGTGAGGGCGTGTGTTGTGGTAGCAGAGGAGAGACCCAGGATGTCTCTAACACACTCCTTCTCCAAGCTGTTTAAAGACCTGGGCCTGCACCCCCGATCTGTCAGCACAGCATTCGGCTGTAGGGTCAACCTGGCTATCTGTCTGCAGGTGTGTGTGTGTGTGTGTGTGGTGTGTGTGTGTGTGTGTGTGTGCGTGTGCGCGTGCGCGTGCGCGAGAGAGAAATAATATGGTCACTCTGTGCTGTGATTGGTTACAGGGCACCTCCGGACCAGACCCTACTACAGTGTACGTGGACATGAGAGCTCTGCGACATGATAGGTATGTCTGCCTGTCAATCACAGCAACAACCAATCAGATCAACCAATTAACTTGCATAACAGTGTGTATGTTTGTCTCTCAGGGTGCGGTTGGTGGAGAGAGGTTCTCCTCACAGTCTCCCTCTCATGGAGTCAGGAAAGGTGGGTCTTGTGTTATGTTTTAACATTTAGCATCAGAAAGCTTCATGACTGTAGAGTACTAAGACTCAGTAAGACTCAGCTTCTAGAGCTCCTGACTGTCTGGTTCAGTAAGACAGCTTCTAGAGCTCCTGACTGTGTGGTTCAGTAAGACTCAGCTTCTAGAGCTCCTGACTGTGTGGTTCAGTAAGACAGCTTCTAGAGCTCCTGACTGTGTGGTTCAGTAAGACTCAGCTTCTAGAGCTCCTGACTGTGTGGTTCAGTAAGACTCAGCTTCTAGAGCTCCTGACTGTGTGGTTCAGTAAGACTCAGCTTCTAGAGCTCCTGACTGTGTGGTTCAGTAAGACTCAGCTTCTAGAGCTCCTGACTGTGTGGTTCAGTAAGACTCAACATCTAGAGCTCCTGACTGTGTGGTTCAGTAAGACAGCTTCTAGAGCTCCTGACTGTGTGGTTCAGTAAGACTCAGCTTCTAGAGCTCCTGACTGTGTGGTTCAGTAAGACTCAGCTTCTAGAGCTCCTGACTGTGTGGTTCAGTAAGACAGCTTCTAGAGCTCCTGACTGTGTGGTTCAGTAAGACAGCTTCTAGAGCTCCTGACTGTGTGGTTCAGTAAGACTCAGCTTCTAGAGCTCCTGACTGTGTGGTTCAGTAAGACTCAGCTTCTAGAGCTCCTGACTGTGTGGTTCAGTAAGACTCAGCTTCTAGAGCTCCTGACTGTGTGGTTCAGTAAGACTCAGCTTCTAGAGCTCCTGACTGTGTGGTTCAGTAAGACTCAGCTTCTAGAGCTCCTGACTATGTGGTTCAGTAAGACTCAGCTTCTAGAGCTCCTGACTATGTGGTTCAGTAAGACTCAGCTTCTAGAGCTCCTGACTGTGTGGTTCAGTAAGACCCAGCTTCTAGAGCTCCTGACTGTGTGGTTCAGTAAGACTCAGCTTCTAGAGCTCCTGACTGTGTGGTTCAGTAAGACTCAGCTTCTAGAGCTCTGACTGTGTGGTTCAGTAAGACTCAGCTTCTAGAGCTCCTGACTGTGTGGTTCAGTAAGACTCAGCTTCTAGAGCTCCTGACTGTGTGGTTCAGTAAGACTCAACATCTAGAGCTCCTGACTGTGTGGTTCAGTAAGACAGCTTCTAGAGCTCCTGACTGTGTGGTTCAGTAAGACTCAGCTTCTAGAGCTCCTGACTGTGTGGTTCAGTAAGACTCAGCTTCTAGAGCTCCTGACTGTGTGGTTCAGTAAGACAGCTTCTAGAGCTCCTGACTGTGTGGTTCAGTAAGACTCGCTTCTAGAGCTCCTGACTGTGTGGTTCAGTAAGACTCAGCTTCTAGAGCTCCTGACTGTGTGGTTCAGTAAGACTCAGCTTCTAGAGCTCCTGACTGTGTGGTTCAGTAAGACTCAGCTTCTAGAGCTCCTGACTGTGTGGTTCAGTAAGACTCAGCTTCTAGAGCTCCTGACTGTGTGGTTCAGTAAGACAGCTTCTAGAGCTCCTGACTGTGTGGTTCAGTAAGACAGCTTCTAGAGCTCCTGACTGTGTGGTTCAGTAAGACTCAGCTTCTAGAGCTCCTGACTGTGTGGTTCAGTAAGACTCAGCTTCTAGAGCTCCTGACTGTGTGGTTCAGTAAGACTCAGCTTCTAGAGCTCCTGACTGTGTGGTTCAGTAAGACTCAGCTTCTAGAGTTCCTGACTGTGTGGTTCAGTAAGACAGCTTCTAGAGCTCCTGACTGTGTGGTTCAGTAAGACAGCTTCTAGAGCTTCTGACTGTCTGGTTCAGTAAGACAGCTTCTAGAGCTCCTGACTGTGTGGTTCAGTAAGACTCAGCTTCTAGAGCTCCTGACTGTGTGGTTCAGTAAGACTCAGCTTCTAGAGCTCCTGACTGTGTGGTTCAGTAAGACTCAGCTTCTAGAGCTCCTGACTGTGTGGTTCAGTAAGAATCAGCTTCTAGAGCTCCTGACTGTGTGGTTCAGTAAGACTCAGCTTCTAGAGCTCCTGACTGTGTGGTTCAGTAAGACTCAGCTTCTAGAGCTCCTGACTGTGTGGTTCAGTAAGATCAGCTTCTAGAGCTCTGACTGTGTGGTTCAGTAAGACTCAGTTCTAGAGCTCCTGACTGTGTGTGGTTCAGTAAGACTCAGCTTCTAGAGCTCCTGACTGTGTGGTTCAGTAAGACTCAGCTTCTAGAGCTCCTGACTATGTGGTTCAGTAAGACTCAGCTTCTAGAGCTCCTGACTGTGTGGTTCAGTAAGACAGCTTCTAGAGCTCCTGACTGTGTGGTTCAGTAAGACTCAGCTTCTAGAGCCCCTGACTGTGTGGTTCAGTAAGACTCAGCTTCTATAGCTCCTGACTGTGTGGTTCAGTAAGACTCAGCTTCTAGAGCTCCTGACTGTGTGGTTCAGTAAGACTCAGCTTCTAGAGCTCCTGACTGTGTGGTTCAGTAAGACTCAGCTTCTAGAGCTCCTGACTGTGTGGTTCAGTAAGACTCAGCTTCTAGAGCTCCTGACTGTGTGGTTCAGTAAGACTCAGCTTCTAGAGCTCCTGACTGTGTGGTTCAGTAAGACTCAGCTTCTAGAGCTCCTGACTGTGTGGTTCAGTAAGACAGCTTCTAGAGCTCCTGACTGTGTGGTTCAGTAAGACTCAGCTTCTAGAGCTCCTGACTGTGTGGTTCAGTAAGACTCAGCTTCTAGAGCTCCTGACTGTGTGGTTCAGTAAGACTCAGCTTCTAGAGCTCCTGACTGTGTGGTTCAGTAAGACAGCTTCTAGAGCTCCTGACTGTGTGGTTCAGTAAGACAGCTTCTAGAGCTCCTGACTGTGTGGTTCAGCTTCACCTCTCTACACATAGACCAGAATGGCTCATAGGCTATATGCTGTACATGGCATTGTCACGTAACCATGGTGACTGTTCCAGATCCTACCTGGTGTCCGCATCATCATCGCCAACCCAGAGACCAAGGGACCACTTGGAGACTCCCACCTAGGAGAGGTCAGCACACACACACACACACACACACATACACAAACTGATTGATTGATTGATTGATTTAATAAACTTGTTTCATGATTTTATGTTGCCCCAGTAAAGATTATTGAAATTCAATTATAATTCTCTCTCTCTCTCTCTCTCTCTCTCTCTCTCTCTCTCTCTCCTCTCTCTCCTCTCTCTCTCTCTCTCTTCTCTCTCTTCTTTCTCTCTCTCTCTGTCTCTCTCTCTCTCTCTCTTCCTCTCTCTCATCTCTCTCTCTCTTCTCTCTCTCCTCTCTCTCTCTCTCTATAGATCTGGGTGCACAGTGCCCATAACGGCAGTGGATATTACAGTGGTTATGGAGAGGATGTCCTTCAGTCTGATCACTTCACCTCCAGACTCAGCTTCGGAGACACATCCACCATCTGGGCTCGCACCGGATACCTGGGCTTCTTACGACGTACTGAACTCACCGACGCCAGCGGAGGTATATACACACACACACACACACAGTCTTGTACAACTAACCTTGTGGGGACACAACATTCAGTCCCATTCAAATCCTATTTTCCCTAACACATAATCCTAAACCTAACCCGTACTCTTACCCTGACCCTAACCTTAACCCTAACCTTAACCGGAAAAACTAACCCTAACCCTAAACCTAACCCTAGCTCCTAATTCTAACCCTAAAACTAACCCTAGCTGCTAACCCTAACCCTAAACCTAATTCTAACCCTAACACTAATTCTAACCTTAACCCTAAACCCCCTAGAAATAGCATTTCACCTTGTGGGGACCAACAAAATGTCACCAGTTGGTCAAATGTTTGTTCGTTTACTATTATTATTATAGTTAAACACGCCCACACAAACACACACACACACACAAACAAAAACACACATAAAAACATACACAGACACACATTATGCGCGCACACACATACACACACACTCACCCTTTCTCTGTGTTCCCTCCCCAGAGAGACATGATGCTCTGTATGTGGTGGGTGCGTTGGAGGAGGCCATGGAGCTGAGGGGGATGAGGTACCATCCTATAGACATAGAGACCTCCGTCATCAGGACGCACAAGAGCATCATGGAGTGGTATGTCACTGTACACCCAAAACAACAGCTGTTTCTATCTCTGTTGTTTATATAGGTATAAACACTACAGTTCCAAATCACTCATCTCTGTGTGTGTGTGTGTGTGTGTGTGTGTATGTGTGTGTGTGTGTGTGTGTGTGTGTGTGTGTGTGTGTGTGTGTGTGTGTGTGTGTGTGTGTGTGTGTGTGTGTGTGTGTGTGTGTGTGGTGTGTGTGTGTGTGTGTGTGTGTGTATGTGTGTGTGTGTGTGTGTGTGTTATGCGACAGTGCGGTGTTTCCCTGGACTAACCTGCTGGTAGTCGTAGTAGAACTAGAAGGTTCGGAGCAGGAAGCCCTGGACCTGGTTCCCATGGTGACCAAGGCGGTGCTGGAGGAGCATTACCTCATCGTTGGGGTCGTCGTGGTAACGGACATCGGGGTGATCCCCATCAACTCTCGTGGAGAGAAGCAGCGCATGCACCTCCGAGACGGCTTCCTACAGGACCAGCTAGACCCCATCTACGTGGCTTATAACATGTAACCCATCCGCACCCATCCGCCCCATCCGCCCCATCCAGGGGTGGACATAAGAGAAGGGGTTTGTGTGTTGTTCATTTCAAATCAAGACCTACTGTATTTTTGAATCTGCATATGGTCATATGGTGTGGTACCTGTTGTCTGTTCCTTTAGTTGTGCTGTAGTGGAGGTATGGCTGTGTCTGCACCCCCGGTTAAACCCGACACCTAGACAGGAAGTCGCTGTACAAAGCCTTAGAGGAACACTGTGTACTGACTACACCACTGGTTGTTGTTGTTAGGAGTTAGGAGAGAGAGAAAATATCTCTGAACATATCTGTTTTCTTAATGAAATAGACATAGAAAATAACGTTATTAAAGTATATTGTCAGAAAAAGACAGGGGGTTCAGATTAGTGTATAAATATAAATATTGTACATAAACATAATGATCTATATGGAGAGAACTAAAACAGAGAGGACTAGCCCTGTTACACAGGTGTGTGTGTGTGTGTATGTGTGTGTGTGTGTGTGTGTGTGTGTGTGTGTGTGTGTGTGTGTATGTGTGTGTGTGTGTGTGTGTGTGTATGTGTGTGTGTGTGTGTGGGTGGGTGTGTGTGTGTGTGTGATACAGTGCACTCCTCTTATAAGAATCACATCCATCCTCAACTATTTGTTTCCTAAAACCAATTGACTCCTAAATGCCAAGTTAACCTGTTAGAAGTATACCATTGGTTCTATCCCACATTGTTTGACCGTTGGAAGCATTTTAGTATCGTAATATGCGATTCTGCTAAGAGAGCCCAGTAAGTAGCACATTCTAAAAGGAGTTGTAAAGCCCAGCTCTGGACCAGAAACAAAAGATTCATTCTAAAAGGAGTTGTAAAGCCCAGCTCTGGACCAGAAACAAAAGATTCATTCTAAAAGGAGTTGTAAAGCCCAGCTCTGGACCAGAAACACAAGATTCATTCTAAAAGGAGTTGTAAAGCCCAGCTCTGGACCAGAAACACAAGATACATTCTAAAAGGAGTTGTAAAGCCCAGCTCTGGACCAGAAACACAAGATACATTCTAAAAGGAGTTGTAAAGCCCAGCTCTGGACCAGAAACACAAGATTCATTCTAAATGTTAACCTTTTCCCTTTAAGGTGCAGTACTTTGGACCGTGGTCAAAAATAGGACACTATATACAGAATAAGCTGCCATTTGGGATGTGAAGTGTTCTAACAAAGAGAAAACAAAAGGGTTTGGAATAAATGTATATATCAGTCATAAAATTATCACTTATGGCATCGTATAGGTTATCAGTTATAACTTTTCTGTGAAAAACATAATTTCAGGTTGATGTTTATTGCCATGAGTCTTGCCCTGGAGGCAGAACTGAGTGGTTTCCGCTAGATGGGCCAGCTGCAAAGTCAAAATTGGCTATAACGTAAAAATTCATGAAAACAGAAATGTGCTTTTTGGTCTTAATTTAAGGTTAGGGTTAGCATTAGGGTTAGCAGTGTGATTAAGATTAGGGTTAGGGTTAGGTTTAAAATCAGATGTTATGACTTTGTGGTTATGTCAGCTAGTGACCACTCTGCAGAGCTGCCTCCAGGGCAACACTCATGTTTGCTATTATTGCTTTGTTTACATTCAGACTCCTGAGTTTGTTTTATCATCATAATCACAACACTATCAGCTACTTTTGTCTCAGAGCTATAATATGATGACATGTATGAAAAACATGCATATCATGATGTATTTCTTTGCTTGTTATTCTGTACTAGAGAATGGAGATGGTACCATCAGCCCCTGACTGTGTGTTAGAGAGAGAGGAGTCTTGTGGGTAGGGTTAAGCCTGGTCCAGAAACTAGAGAGGTGAGAGAGACTGCATGGTGTGTGTGTGTGTGTGTGTGTGTGTGTGTGTGTGTGTGTGTGTGTGTGTGTGTGTGTGTGTGTGTGTGTGTGTGTGTGTGTGTGTGTGTGTGTGTGTGCGTGTGCGTGCGTGCGGTGCGTGCGGTGTGTGCGTGCGTGCGTGCGGTGCGTGTGTGTGTAAATAGTGTTAATTTTGTACGGTACAGGTATGTGTGACTGTTTTGTACACATGATGAAAATATAAAAATGACACTTTTATAAGAGCCTTCCATTGGCTCAACATCACACTATACAGTGCAATAAAGTGCTTTGATTGGTTAAGCCGCGTCTGGTGTGCTGTTATTGGTTCACATACTTTAAGTGGTGCTCAGCGGAAAGAGAAAGGAGTTGCACAAGTTCTAGGATCCGTTCCCTTTACCAAACCAAACCTGAAATAGTAGCGCAGGTTTTCTTTTCTTGCGCGGTTGGTCAAGGGGAAATTGACCACAAGAAGCCCAAATAGATATTTGACTAAAACATAATCATTTCAAACCTTGCTTACATTTGTATACGATCGCATACACTGCGTCTACAAAACATTAGGAACACCCTCCTAATATTGAGTTGCACCCCCTTTTGCCCTCAGAACAGCCTCAATTTGTCGGGGCATGGACTCTACAAGGTGTCAACAGCGTTCCACAGGGATGCTGGCCCATGTTGATCGCAATGCTTCCCACAGTTGTGTCAAGTTGGCTGGATGTCCTTTAGGTTGTGCACCGTTCTTGATACATTTACATTTACATTTACGTCATTTAGCAGACGCTCTTATCCAGAGCGACTTACAAATTGGTGCATTCACCTTATAGCCAGTGGGATAACCACTTTTTTTTGGGGGGGGGGGGGGGTTGAAGGATTACTTTATCCTATCCCAGGTATTCCTTAAAGAGGTGGGGTTTCAAATGTCTCCGGAAGGTGGTGAGTGACTCCGCTGTCCTGGCGTCGTGAGGGAGCTTGTTCCACCATTGGGGTGCCAGAGCAGCGAACAGTTTTGACTGGGCTGAGCGGGAACTGTGCTTCCGCAGAGGTAGGGGAGCCAGCAGGCCAGAGGTGGATGAACGCAATGCCCTCGTTTGGGTGTAGGGACTGATCAGAGCCTGAAGGTACGGAGGTGCCGTTCCCCTCACAGCTCCGTAGGCAAGCACCATGGTCTTGTAGCAGATGCGAGCTTCAACTGGAAGCCAGTGGAGTGTGCGGAGGAGCGGGGTGATGTGAGAGAACTTGGGAAGGTTGAACACCAGACGGGCTGTGGCATTCTGGATGAGTTGTAGGGGCTTAATGGCACAGGCAGGGAGCCCAGCCAACAGCGAGTTGCAGTAATCCAGACGGGAGATGACAAGTGCCTGGATTAGGACCTGTGCCGCTTCCTGTGTAAGGCAGGGTCGTACTCTCCGAATGTTGTAGAGCATGAACCTACAGGATCGGGTCACCGCCTTGATGTTAGCGGAGAACGACAGGGTGTTGTCCAGCGTCACGCCAAGGCTCTTCGCACTCTTCGCACTCTGGGAGGAGGACACAACGGAGTTGTCAACCGTGATGGCGAGATCATGGAACGGGCAGTCCTTCCCCGGGAGGAAGAGCAGCTCCGTCTGATACACACAGGAAACGGTTGAGTGTGAAAAACCCAGCAGCGTTGTAGTTCTTGACACACTCAAACCGGGGGTCCTGGCACCTATTTTGTTGCATTACAACCTGTAATTTAAATGGATTTTTATTTGGATTTCATGTAATGGACATACACAAAGTAGTCCAAATTGGTGAAGTGAAATGAAAAATTAACTTGTTTCAAAAAATTCGAAATAATAAATAACGGAAACGTGGTGCGTGCATATGTATTCACCCCCTTTGCTATCAAATGAATCAAATAATACAACCCCCCCCCCAAAAAAAACATTTAAATTCCAGGTTGTAAGGCAACAAAATAGGAAAAATGCCAAGGGGGGTGAATACTTTCACAAGCCACTGTACTACCTGACCCCGTTCAAAGGCACTGATTGAAGTGGATTTAAGAAGTGACATCAATAAATGCTCATAGTGTTCACCTGGAACTGTGAATACAGAAAATGTGATGGACGTCATAAATTAGGAAACGTCTTTAAAATATCTCCAATCCGAGTGGGTTGTCTACTTTATACAACTACAAGTAAAGGACAAGTCAATAACATTATTATAGAATGTTAGTTAGAAAGATGTGATTCTCATTGGACATGCACGTCAAGATGGGATAATAATAAAGCTCATGCTTCTCTTCTATAGGGATATCGTCTGAGAGAGAGGAGACGAGCCGAGGAGAGAGAGAGAGGATAGACTGCGCGATGAGTAGGCGCGAGCGAGGCGATCGAGCGCGAGATCTCTCTCTCCTCTCTCTCCTTCTATCTCTCTATCTCTCTATCTCTCTTCTCTCTCTCTTCCATATCTCTCTCTTTCTCCTCTATCTTCTCTCTCTCCTCTCTCTCTCTCTTTCTCTCTCTCTCTCTCTCTCTCTCTCTCAAAGTCATACGAATGTTGTATTTCTATAAAATCATTCTTCATCATCACATTAAACTCGTAAATGACTGAATGATCTGTGAGGTTGACAGAACACAGCTGAGATGGGTTTATCACTGGAATGTCCACCTTTCTTCCTTTTCCTCTTCCCTCTCCTCTCTTCTTCTCCTCTTTTCACTCTATCCTGTACTCTTCTCTCCTCTCCTCTCAGTCTACTCTCTTCCCCCTGTCCTTTTCTCTGTTCTTCTCGTTACTCCCTCTCTTCTCCTCTTCTCTGTTTTCTCTCCCTCTCTTCTCCTTACAGGAATTCATCAGAGTAACTCTGATGGGACATACAGTGAGGGAAAAAAGTATTTGATCCCTGCTGATTTTGTACGTTTGCCCACTGACAAAGACATCAGTCTATAATTTTAATGGTAGGTTTATTTGAACAGTGAGCGACAGAATAACAACAACAAAAATCCAGAAAAACGCATGTAAAAAATGTTATAAATTGATTTGCATTTTAATGAGGGAAATAAGTATTTGACCCCTCTGCAAAACATGACTTAGTACTTGGTGGCAAAACCCTTGTTGGCAATCACAGAGGTCAGACGTTTCTTGTAGTTGGCCACCAGGTTTGCACACATCTCAGGAGGGATTTTGT